AAGTCTGGATAGAGCATCTCGATGTCTTCATCTCCAATGGCGTAGAAGGGATCATATCCTTTTGTGCAGTCCAGATAGACCAACTTGTACGCGTCCATGGCAACTTCGGACTTGGATTCCTAAGTAGACTCATGATAGGTGTGAAATCTAGCTAAAAGCTTGTCATAGCTATGAAAGATGACAGCATTCTTGCGCTCAAGGTGGAAGTAAGCATGTTTTCGACTTGCCAAGTCAGCAACAGAACAGTTAAGCTCGGAATCCTTCTCAGCAAGGGAACTCTTCAACTCAGATATCATCGCCCGCAAATCAGATGTCTTCTTCTCATAACGGGTCTGCTAGGCGGAAAGTTTGCTAACTAACTCGGCATTCTTCTTCTCCAACTCGCTGAGCTGAGCAGAAGAGGGGGCAACAGCAGACGAGTTCCGAATGGTCTTAGCAGCAAAAACTACTCCCTTTTGAAGCAGATGAAGTGTCGCTTCCCTTTGTTTTTCCAAGGAAAGACTTGAGAAAGCACCAAGATCGCCAGCCTGATGGATTTGGTCAACCAGCTCAGCACAAGAGGATGGACTTGATAGAAATTGCGTCTTTAGTAGATCAGACACGCCTGCATTCCCTACAGGGCTAGATTTGTCCACCTTTGGATCAGCCGCTGACGTTGCAGAAGAACCTTTCGTTCGGGCAGATGACTCTCTTGCTTTCCTAGCCTCCACCAACCTCACTTCCAAAGGAATTTGCGATGTCGAATCAACTCCACGCTTGACTGCTCGTGACTCAACAGTTGCATCATGACGGTTGGATAGATGAGTAGACCTCCTACTTCGACCTCCACTCTTCGACTGGTGCAGACGACCCGAACTTCGGGGAGCAACATCCGCATCTCTTTGTCTTTCAACAGGTGAGCTAGATCGCGCACGGACCACTTCGCGAAGTAGATCATGATCTCCAAGCTCGTCAACAAGAGGCTTAAGGGGAGCATCCCTTATGTTGCGCATACCTCCAATCTTCTTGCTGTTTGCGCCAACAAGATGCTTGACCCTGGCAGATGAGGTGGGAACAACTCCTACTGGGATCTTCTCAGCAGAAGGGAGCTTTGGCTTCTTCCTCAATGGAGACACGTTCCTCGCCCTTGAAGAGGTAGCTTGAGTTCTCGGAGACTTAACTTCAGCCTTCCTTTTTTATGGGGGTTCAGCAGAGTATGCCTCTTGTTCAGCAGACAGATCATCAAGGTCCGGACCATTCTGTTTCCATCTTTCGACATCCTCGGTAGGGGGCAGACCACCGTCTTCCTCCCGATACTCGCTCAACAGCCAACGCCACTCACGGAACTTTTGGGGGATGTTCAAAGCACGGCGGACCTTAGCCATGTCAGGTTCAAGCTCCAATTTCTTACTGATGTCGTCCGCTACAAGCAGAAGACAGAAGTTAGTCAGCTACGCTTCAAGAAATTCAAACAAAAAAAGAGCAGATAGAAGAAAAAACTGCAAAAAGACGTACAATTGCAATAGGTGAGGGGAACAAGGGGACCATCACCAACATCACCTTCCCACCGTCCGCTGACTTCCAACACATCATCATGCCACACGTGATCTCCCTGACTAAGACTGTCAAACAGCTTGACATTGCAGGTGCGAAATTGGGCATACTCCTTGAAGCACCTCACTTCAAAAAAATAGAAGAACTCTCGTACTGTCAGCTCCAACATGAAGAAATAGCTCAGGTTTTCAAAACACATGATCGCTCGGTAGACGTTCGGAGTACACTGACTTGGAGCACACTCCATGGCGCAGAATACCTCCTTGAAAAGTTTTGACAGTGGGAATTTGAAGCCCAAGGAGAAGTAAAAGGGACGGAAGGTGATGATTCTGGCATTCGGATCATTCGCATCCACGCAAGGCACGTTGTCAGTCAAAGGCTTCGCCAGCTTGACATACACGTCGTCAGGAATTGCAGAGGCATAAGCAGCCCGCCACCTCTGGAATTGATCTTCATTTGTAATGCGGTGCAGGTTGGCCACAAACCTCTTCTTGTACACCTCGGAACCTCCCCACAAATACAAAGGCACCTGAGAGCTTGAAGCCTTGCTACCGTCTCTGGAAGGCATGGTTGGTCAAACGAATAACTGCAAGAAGAGAAGAAAATTCCACAAGTTAGAATCCCAAACAAAAGCTGGCAGCAAACAAAAAAAGGAAAAAAAAAAAAACAAAAACAAAAAAAGAACAACAGAAGCAGAAAAAGAAAAAAAAAATATTAAAAGCAGCCCAGCATGAGCAAGTCCGTTAGCGCCTCCAGCCCAGCGCGCATGCGGCCCAACTCCAGCCTGGCCCCGTCCTCCAGCTCCTGCGCGCAAGGCCTGCCTGCTTGGCGCAGGCCCACGTTGCGCAGCCCGGCGCCTTCTAGCCCAAACGCCAGCAGCATGGTCTGCATGCCCAGCGCAAGCCCTCGACGCGCAAGGCCCAGTGCCTCTCAGCCACTGCTTTGAGCCTAGCTCCTCCACGCACTCTCTTCGAGCCCAGCTCTTGCACCAGGCCTGTATTGCATCAACTCCAGCCCATACCAGGTTGCTCTAGGGCACCGCATGCTCCATTTGATTCCAGCACAAATTCTCCAGCTTTTGTCAACTATTGCCCACGGATTTGCAGCTCATGCTGGACCACCTCCTTGCTGCCAAAAATCATAAAAAAAATATACGTGCATATATATTTTCACGAGCTCGACTTATTCCGGATGCACGGCTAGTCCTCTCTTCAACAAAGCAGTACAAATTCTCTAAGATCTTTCTCAAGCTAGAAGGTAGAGAAGTTAAGTTTGTGATGTGAGAAAGAGTGAAGAAAAGCCCTGTATTTATACAAGTTGGACAACTCAGGTCAAGAAGGGATTGCAAGCTCATTCTTACTGGGAATCCAACTCCAACAACAGTCAAAAGCCTACACCAATTGGAAATCTGATCTGCAAAGGAGTCCAACTCACATAATAAAGCCCAGAAACAGTTGGAGAGCCCGAAAAAAAAATATATATATAAAAATAATTTCATCTCCTACATGCCACACAAGCGCCATGCAGAAGCTGGGGGGGCATTTGTGGGAGCAGATATTTTCGTCTCCAATCGCAGCGCGCCACGTGGAAAAGAAGATTATCTCTTTTAATTAATTAATTGAAACAGTTTATCTGGCCAATTAATTAATTGGGATAAATATCTTAATTAAAGTGATATTATCTTTATTTAATAAGATAATATCATTAATTAAGACATTATCCTAATAAAGAGAAGATAATGTCATTATCTCAAATATTATCTCCATAAAAAGAGATAATATCATTTAACTAAGATATTATCTCCATAAAAAGAGATAATATCATTAAATCAGATATTATCTCAGTCCGACTCGATCCCTACGAATTTGGGTAGAGAATAAACTCAGCATATTCTCTACGAAACCCTAGCCCCGAGGCTCCTATAAATAGATGACCTCATTCATCATTCAAGGTACATATAAACCTACTCCTAATACCCGAGAAAAATACCCGAAGCTCTCTCTTTCTCCCTCTCCACTCTCCATATTTTCTCCACACGGCTTCGGCCACCACACACGGCTCCAGCCGCCCGGTTCACACCCTACATAAACACTACTCCGTACCCTTTGCTTAGCTATTATTTTCCTACAAACACTCGAACTAACTTAGGCATCGAAGAGCCTTTGGCCAACACCCCCCGGGTGTGGTCTATTTACTCCAATTTGTTTTACAGGAATCGAGGAAGAGAGAGAAGGAAGATCGAAAGTTGAAGGATCTAGAAGCGAATATTCTCCCGTGAGATTATTTGCACAAACAGTAGACATGTTTTAAGCATGTGCTCTCTCAAGACAAGAAAAATCATGCTTTACTCGTGTCATCTCAATCTTTCTTTGTTATGGATAACATGTTTTTGTGTTTGTCACAACACCCACATTGTAGTAGACATGATTTAAGCATGTTTTCTCTCCGCAAAAATAAAGCATGTTTATTTGTGGTTTTTTTATTATCAAAAATAGTTTTTTTTTTTAAGCTAGCAAGTCATTGTTTTTAAAACTTTTGTAAACCCGTAAATTGAAAACAAAATGACAGGAAAGCAAGGGGCGAGGTCCATGTTCGATTTCCCCATCTCCAAAATCACTTGTATTTTGAAAAAATCATAACATGATAAAAAAAAAGCTTTTATTTTTTAAATAAAAACTAACATGTATGTGTCTCCCTCCAATGAATACTCTCTCTTTTCTTAAAAAAACATAAAAAAAAAAAAGGCTTTTATTCTATGCTGTTACTTGTTTTTTAGTACTATGCATTGCTTTTTTATTTTTTATACTTTGGTGATTGATTTGCTATATTTAGTTTTCTGCGTATCAAAGCCAAATTCGAATTTAACAATTGATGTCATTCGTTATTTGCTAATTGGTAATTAATATAAAAGTGGGAAGTTTGTTGGGTTAATAATAGAATAATAGTAAATCAGGAAAAAATTTATTAAATTATTTTTTCTCTCTCTCATAATAATGTCATCAAATAAATAAAAAATAAAGAGTTAACTATAGTTAAACCCATGTACATTTGTTACATTTTAAAAAGGGCAGTGAGTGTACGGAATTAAGTGGTGAGCAAAAATACTCCATTTACGGCGTTATGTTTATATAATTCCAATGTAAAAACTGGGATATTAGGAGTCACAACTTGAATTTGAGAGTTTTTATTGTATCTTTATTATTTTCTGTGGGCGTCGCCTGGCAGTCAGTCAGCATTGGTTGGTATACCAGATCCACTCTTTGGTCATCAGCCCATCGATTTCACCTACCACCTCTCCAGACTCTTTACTGTTGAGTTGAGTGTACCAGACCAACTAACCAGACCCATTTCCAGATCCTATTATATAAACAAGATAACCAAGCACACTCCTAGTTTTGTTCTCCTCCTACCCATTATCCCATTTTTTGTTTTTCAGCAAATAGCTTTTGATAAAAACAAGAACACCCATGGATTTCATTGAATCACTAGATCCCCAGATTCTTCTGGGTGCAACTGTAGCTATTGTTGTCATTGTGGCTGTTGCTTATCTCTTCACCTAGGCCAAGGAAAGTTTGTCCACCAAGACCGTCTTGACTCTCTTTTTTTTTTTTTTTTTTTTTTTTTTTTTTGGTTGATTAGTTGGTTTTCAATCCGTAATGGTTTTATACAACTTCTGTAACAATTATGGTTGTTCACTGAAGTGTTTGATGTTGGGTTATGAACATATTTGCTGTTTCTGTTTTTTCAGTGTTTTTTGTCTGGAGGAGTAGAAAACTTTGGAGTATTTTGTGATGTGCATTTTCTTTGTGATAAATGATCAATTGGGTAATAACATTCATGTTGCATTTGAAGTTGATGATTGATTTATGTGGATCAATTTGAAGTGGATTATTGGTTTCTATTGCAATATTCAGTTTCTTCTTTTTCCTTTCTTCATCCTTTTCTTCATATATGAATCAAACATCGAATAACTGTACACTTTTAAATATGTTTAAAGCGTTTTAAAATGGGTAATCCTCAATTCTACTTTATTTTCTTTAAAAAAATCCTAGCTTTTAGCTACTTTTATTCTGTAATCTTTTTAATTTCTTTTCTAATTATGTTGGGTACATCCTTCCTGTGACATTTTAATTTCATGTGTATGATTGAGTTTTTAGATTATCTGGTAGCTTAATTTTTTGGTTCAGTAATATTCCAATGGTTTATTGCTGTATTACTCTTGCACATCTTGAAAGTTGGTCATTTGAATCCTACTGTGATCTCTATACATATTTGTATATGTACACTCAATAATCATTAATAATTTTTAGTTTTTTCCATTATTTTTTTTCCACTTTCCATGTGGTGTTTTTCCTTTCCATCATCATTATAGTGATTTTGTCATGAAAAAGAGTACAAACACAGTTCTGAGATGAAATTATCTAATGAGATATGTTCTAATCGCTTAATTGTTTGCAAAGGCAATGTGATTGAGCCAGATGTAATTATTGAATTAGAGGAATAGATCCAGGTTTCTGGGTAAGCTTGAACTGTGCAAGATGTCTGTAGATTTTTTGAAAGCTTGAGGTCAGGCCAAATTTGGACCCATGCTAAATCCACAAAGCTTGTCTCTGGCTTCTTTGAACTTCCCTTTACCTATTCTGGATTTTTCAGAAAATAACTTATTCGCTGACCTGTTCTTCATGGCCTAGAAACTAAGTATTGAGAGATTTCTATCCTTTAAACTCTTTTGTACAAGTTGAAGATTTAACCATTAAGTAGTATATGCAATCCGTGAAAAATCCATATCATGTAAATATTAATAACCATTTCAATTTCATTTCTTCTTATCTTCTTGTTTCTGGTGTTTTCACTTTTTAGTAGTCAAATTGCAGTTTTTATGCAAGTTTCATTTCTGTAATTTGTATCAATTAACATGTAAGGTTGTGCAAATGGGTGGAATTGTGTTGTGCTTTTTATGTCAAAAATTACCCAATTGTGCAAACTGGCTCATGTTATGGTGTATGCTTATAGGCTCTTTAGATGCTGAGAATTTCAAGGATTTCAAACTTGTCAAGCGTACACAGCTGAGCCACAATGTCGCGAAGTTCAGATTTGAACTTCCAACATCTACTTCAGTTTTAGGTCTTCCAATTGGACAACACATAAGTTGCAGGTACAGTTGATTTTACTTTTATTATTTATTTACTATTTATCATATGGTCATCCTTTTCTGAGTCTTTTGGCTGTTGATAATTTGATCAATGATGGTTGACTAACCAAATGGCTGTCAGAAATTCTGATTCATAAGGGGAAGTTTGCATAATTTTTATCTTCCCTTATCATTGTAGTTTTTACGTGAGCTTCTTGTTGCATAGGGGCAAGGATAGCCAAGGCGAAGATGTTATCAAACCATATACCCCAACTACATTGGATTCTGATGTTGGATATTTTGAACTGGTTATAAAGGTATTCACCTGTAACAATTTTGTTATAGAATCCATATAGCACCTTGACTTTATTGCAGCACAAAACAGAAAAAAATATTTATGTAATTATTTTAAAAAGGTATCATGTGGTTGATCTTACTTTGCATTAGATGTATCCTCAAGGAAGAATGTCGCATCATTTCCGAGAAATGCGTGTTGGAGATCATCTTGCTGTCAAGGGACCAAAGGTATGCACTTTCTTTTCCCAGTAATTTAGAATTTCCCTATAACCGGAAAAAAGAGGAATCTCTCCCACTCTCTCTCTCTTACTCATTATTGAAATATGTTACTCTGATCCTTTCAAGTGCTGCTGATTCTGTAAAATTTGTCCTTGAATTGGAGAAGATATGTTCCTTACCACATTATATTATCTGATGTTATTAGATGGAAAGAAAAAGTTGGCAGTTAGCATTGCTCTTGTAGAATGGAGTGCTTCCAAATCTAGGGATTTAGATAACATTATAATGCATGTATGCCATTATTTGGACAAGAAGGAAATGAAGAAAACAAATGGATTTCAAATGATTCCTTGCATGAAGTCATTTCAAATGTACTACATCTAGTAATATCAAATACATCCAATCTAATGTTTTCTAGTTTTTATATCAAATTTATCCTTATTGTCAAATCCAAATCCTTCTTCGAATTCCTCCATCCAAATGGAGCCTTAGATTAATAAACATATTGGATATACATATGGTTTTCTCAAAATATAGTTTAGTACATCATTTAAGATTTGAAGAAATAAAATGCAGCCATCCAAGTGATACATTTGATACAATATGCGAGAATTAATTTATCTTTTTTTTTAAAAAAAAACACAATAATCGGTAATATTGCTGAGAATTTGGAAATTAGTAAATTCAGCTCCTTATTTACATTATATTAAGAAATAGAAACATTATAGTTAGTGACCATATTATGTAACCTGTGCACAGTAGATGGATACTTCTCTTTACACAATACTCATGAGTTGATCTTGTATATTTTCAAATGCCTTTGGGAAACATAATTCATATAATCTCTATATATACTAGTATTTCTTTTCACCAAGTTGATCTCTGAAATTTTGCTGTTACCAGGGTCGTTTCAAGTATCAACCTGGCCAAGTTAGAGCATTTGGGATGCTTGCTGGAGGCTCTGGAATCACTCCAATGTTCCAGTATGTATTTGTGACTATGAACATTACACTAAGTTTTTTAGGTTGCTCTAGTGTTGTAGAATTTTTACAACCCGTTCTGCATCCACTTTAGGTTGCCAGGGCAATATTAGAAAATCCAAAGACAAACAAAGGTGCACTTGATCTATGCCAATGTGACATATGAGGACATTCTTTTTAAAGGTATTGTGCTCTCCTCTTTGTGTCGTTATCAACTTATCTTTATATCGTCTACTCATCATATTTATTGTTAAATTATTCCTTTGATAGTTGACTAGTTTTGGCGATGATTCCATTGAGGAAACAACATTTTGGTTCTGTATATAGTACTAGCAAGCTGGGCCTACTAATGCAATTTAATTTGATATTTCTTAGCTGACTATACAAATCCCACTTACAAAGATGATCTTTCCATGTTGCATGTGTAGATAAAACTTGAAGAACACACCCTAATTGCCTTGCCTATCACATAAACCTCCTGGTTTAAGCACAATATGCTTGGTATTCGGTTAATGCTAAATTGGTTTACAAGGTCAAAATAGGGCTTGAGGGAAAAAATTAAGAATAGTAATGGAGCATGTAGATGTGCAGTCCTCCCAGACCGGACATGAATCATATTGAACAAGGTCATGTGTCAGGGATGACCAAAACGAGTAACTGCTATATAATTCAGTATACAACCCAAGAAGTAACTTAAGAAGCCTGAAATCTATGCCCATGTATTCAAGACTGGAATCAGTGTTTAAAGTAGGTGGTTAAGGGATTCGAAATAAGATTCAAAATTTAGGGAAGTGAAAGGTCATGGGAAATATCTACTGATCTTGATTATACAAAACCTACGTCTTATCAAAACCTAAAACTTTTGGTTAGTTCTCCATGTTAACGTCTTATTTTTCATTAAGTATTTTGAGAGTGTTCAGCTAAACAATATTTCCAAAATTAGGAGTATGCTGTCTGTCTTAAGAAAGCGGTTATAGGTCGTGGGAAATATTTACTAATCTAGAATCTATGATTCTTTGCTTTATATAGATTGTAGAGTAAGTAATTTTAGAGCAAGGAATCCTAGCTTTCATACTGTATTTTGATTTGGAATTTTCCTCCATGGTGACTTTGTGTTGTCATGGAGAAGTTACTTTGAGAATGTTCCAGAAAGTTTTCCCTTTCTTTTTATTGAGTTGCACAATGCTATGTTACTAAAACCTTGTATTTAGGATTTTTCCTCCATGGGGACATGGTCTTCTTCATGGAGGAGCTACTTTCAGAACTTTTTTGTGGTGAGGGGAGTGAGGTGGTTTTATCTGCTTTTGGAGTAGCATTCTGGATCTACTTTTGTGGTGTTCAGAACATATGTAGAAAGATGCTCCTTGTTTCTGACTGGATTACACTGTACTGGGTAGTAGGAGATTGCAATATTTAAGCCTATAAATTTGCAGTCGATGCATTTGGATCAAATCCCCTCTGTTTATTTGCAGGAGAATGGATGGCCTTACTAGTAACTACCCTGACCGCTTCAAAATTTACTATGTCTTGAATCAGGTGAATCGACTTCTCTGCTGTATATTTCCAAATTATTTGTCTTTCCCTTCCTTATGGTGTTTTTGTTAAGTTGGTAAGTTTGAAGAATTATGTCTCATGACTGATGACCATTATCTCTTTTCCTCCTAATGAACTACCTCTGCAAAATGTTACTCCTCAGCCTCCTGAAGTATGGGATGGTGGTGTTGGTTTTGTCACAAAGGAAATGATTCAAGCCCAGTTGCCTGCCCCGGCGCATGATATTCAGGTAAGTGACTAATTTGCCGCTTAGATATGAATAGTAGACTTGCAAACATGATATTTTTGCGACATGGCCTTAAACCCTTGCAAAAAGTGTTTCTTAATCTTGCCGCTTTGATATGAATAGTAGACTTGCATTTGTTTGATAAGCAAAGCTGACTTTGCTCCTGGAATCTCAGATTTGAGGTGTGGTCCACCACCAATGAACAAGGCCATGGCTGCTCATCTTGAAGCACTTGGGTATGCTCCTGAGATGCAGTTCCAGTCTGATCCTTTCATATGTCTTTGTATCTCATTACAGTCACGTCTTTTTGGATCGTTGAGCAAATGACTTCCTTCCCTTCCTACATTGGAGCAAGTGTACTTGTTTATTAGATAGCAATGCAATAACTACTTCGAAGGTTTTAATGTTAAGCGGTTATGTGATGCGGTCTTTGGTTAAACGTCTTGTTTTCTTATGGGGTGGGATTGGAACAAAACCTTTTATTTTGTGGTAGTGGATAATATAGGGGAAATGGCAACAGGCCGGTCGGGTCCGGTTTGCCATCACTATCCCCGCGTCGCCGGATAAATGGGAACCCTGACAGATGTATGGAGTTCCAATAACTTTTTTGTAAATGATTTGTCATTAAAAAAGATAAACAATCATAATGTAGGACATTGAAAATGCAATAATGCATCCCATATTATATAAATAAAATATACAGCCATTCGTTTACACTACCAAAACTGGGACATAAACTTGAATGGGTATATGGGGGCAGGGAGTGCTTTGGCATACCACACCCTCTACTTAGAGCACTTTCAGCGCTCCTCTTTTGCCCGGGTAGGAGGGGGCCTAGGCCAGCATTTGGTTCTAGTGCGCAACGTGAAGACGGGGCAGTTGATGGGGTCCACAAGCCAGGGCAGGGTCAAAGCAAATCTTGCCTGGGTTTGATGACGTCATGATGATGTCAGCAACGAAAAAAGAAACCAAAAATTTCAGGAATTTATATATATATAAATACCTAATTATATATTCACTTCTCTCGCCAAAATTAATGGGTAAGTATAAAAATAGAAAATAAATAAAATGAATAGAATGTCATTGCTTTTGACCTTGGGGTGGAAACAAAAAAGGTAAGGATTGCCACATTCACGTAAATAGTGACAACATTGCCTTGCCTTTGCCTTACCCTTACCCTACCCTTTGGGATGGAGGTGCTCTACCTTTCCAAATACCTAAGCTCATGGAAGAATTTAAACATTGCCCCCATGAAGTTTGCATAGGGGGTATATAATGAGTGTTCATAATAGCCATCAGAGTAATTGAGAGTTGTTATTGGACGTTAGTATGAATATTTCAACATAGAACCCTCATTTTGAAGGGTACTATGAGTATCTCTTTCCTTGTATATAAGAATACTTGAGAGTTATTGCATAGAGCTTATATAATAGCATTCTTAATAGTCATCTGATTAATTGGAGAGCTGTTATTGGACGTTTGGATTGAACCTTTCAACATAGCCCCCTCAATTTGAAGGGTACTAAGAGCATCTCTTTCCTTTTATATTAGAATATGGTAGATTTATTGCATTTCATGACAATCAAACCTAGGCTAAACGCATCTCTAGTAAACATTTTAAATGACCTCTTAAATTAAGATCAAGCATGATATATGTAAGCCTCTCCCATAGATGTAAATTAAAACTCTTCAATTAAAGTGTTGTACTATGTGGCATTTGAAAAGGTTTATTTGCTATTCGAATAATTTTTGCTCCACTAGACTCTTCAATGAATTAATGCACTATCATGGAAAAGAATGAAAAATATGAAAACATGTGAAAAATGTCTAATGTATTTATTATTTAAAAAGAAAAGAAAAATGCATGTTTTAACATGGTTGAGGCCCAAAAAATTCATGGTTTGGCCCAAATGAATTCTGGCCCAGCGCATGCCTTATAAAGAAAAGACTCAATTTGGAGCACGCAAAAGTTCATTATTCACGTTACACGAGTCATGATCCACGTGCCATGCCCAATAAATATGAATTTTTTACGCTAAAAATTGAAATGAGCCTATAAAAGGCACTGGCTTACAAGCCCATGTTAAAATGAATGTCATGTCTCTCTTCAGGGACGATAAAATTTAAAGCATGCGAAGTAGGAAATCATTATTCACAACCCAACCACCTACCAAGCTAAGTGGGCCCAAGCCACTCAAATGTCCGAGGCTTGCTTGAGTGGATTGTGGTAATGGATGTAATAAGTTTGTCATGAGGCCCATTAATGTGGCGAGAAAAAAGGAGTCTCGAGTTGCTTGAGAGCCTGGAACTCAAGCCTATTTCTCGGCCCCAAACATGTGGTGATCACAAAAGGAGAAATAGCCAATACCTCAGCCAAAATAGCCAGAAACTAACCAAATAGCCCAACACTTGATAAGGTAGCCCATTTGTTTGCTGAATTCACGGTTGTTGATATACGCCATACAAACAGAATAAGAAGCAGCAAAAGCACCCAAGCACTTGGATGGAGAACAAAAGCCACCAAGGGAGCCTGGAGGTATGTCGCAAAGCTACTGGGAGGCTCTAGCCCATGGGAAGGAATAAGGTTTCAAGCAAAAAAAATCCAAATGACACGGGGGATATGGCGTGAGACTGCTCGGAGGGGAGTCACCCTTCAGAACGCGGGTATGCCCCTTTCTTGCCCTCATTAGCCTGGCCATGGAATAAAGAAGAAAGAAAGGAAGGAAATGGCTTGGAATAGGAGTCCTCCACTGAGGCAGCTACGGGAAGAGCATTGAGCTCCCAAAAATCCCTGATTGTTGCAAATAGGCAGAGAGAATTGCCCAAGATGGGAAGAGTCAAGGGAGGAGAGGAGAAAAGGAAGGGAAAAGCTTGGCCAAATTGGGGTAGAAAATAGGGTCTGCGAAAGAGTGGTTCCAGTGCCTATAAAAAAGAAGCATTTGCCCTCCATCATCTCAACCCACATCTTAAAGAGCAGTTCATCTCTCATCTGAAACTATACAATTTCGAGCAACATTCCTCTATTTTATCATATCTTATCTTCTGGTAAGTCATTATAGAGCTTGATAGAGCCTTTGACCAAGCTATGGAAAATTCCAAAACACCCAACTTCCCACTAGCCAAAACCACATCCAGAAAGCACGCTTCCCTCTCACTTGCAAAAACCCTAGACAAATTTGTTGCTCTATCATCATTCTCCCCATTTTCCTCTTCTGGCAGCTGGTTATAACATTGGACAGAACCTCTGTCAAGATACTGGAAAAAAACCTTAAAGCCACCCAATTCCCCTCTCGTTCCCTCTTCTCAGCCAAACCTTTCTACAACCCTTTCTTACACCTTAATGCCCCCTTTCCCCAAAGGAACACTTAGTGTACTCTTCAGGATAAACTTCATAAAACAAAATTTTGCTTCTATGCCACAAGCCTCTCATGTCAAGCTAAAAAATCTATCTGGAGCTATTGTTATGTTTGTGGTGAACGGTAAACCAATGTGTTTCCTAAGGACCTAACTGTCCATTTCGAAGCTGCTTGGGCCTTGATCTTGAACTCAGGCAAAGGGATAACTTCATTAAGTAGCTCCTTACGCCAGCCTAGCCCATGATAAATGCTGAAGAAAAAAGCCCCTACAAACATTTAAGGTAAAGTTTTGTTTTTCAAAGTAAAATAATGTTTGACGAACCAAGATCAACTTACCAGTTCTGAAGAGAGAGCAACAAGAGGTTGCAACTTGGTGATTGGACTGTGACATAGGTGGTTGGCGATATTTTATGATTTGTGGCTTACCTATTGAGTATCCGAAGTGTTGAAGAGCTATTGGATAGGCTCTAAGGGGCTTGTAGCTTTAGGTGGTTAAAGCATCTCCAAGGAAGGGGCAAATGATTAGGCAAAAATTGGACTATAACAACAGATGTGGCATGTTGGCTACCATTTGCCTCATTAAAAAAGTTGACCATCCAAGGGGACTAGGTAATGAAAGTTTACAAAAATATTAGCTATTAGTTATTTTATCTTCATAGGTACGATATATTTAATAGGAAAGTAGGTGAAGAGTGGAGATGATGTTTTATTGCTAAAAAGCACGTCGGCCCAAATGACCTACATTTGAAGTAGGCAAGATTGGCCCTGTTGGGGAGGAAGGAGAGTATTATTTGGCCTATACCATTTACCTCTTACCTTGGAGTATGAAAATCTGAGTGGAAAGGCAAACCGAGTTGTCTCTCTTTTGCCGCTTCCCTTGAGAGGCTCTAAGAGACCAATTACCTATACACCTGAGTTCTAGGTTGTTCTCCTCCCCCAATGCGTTTGTATTAATTTTTTATTTAAAAAAAGGCTGAATATTATAAAAAATTAACTTCATTGCTTCTAAAATAGAAAATCTCTAGGAAAAGCCTGAAGTGAGAGAGATGAAATGATTCTAAATCGTTGAAATTGTAATAAAGGAGAATTCAAGGGTTGTGTTTTGGGGGGAAAAGCCTATGGGAATGCGTCAACAGAAGCATACAGTGCTTCTCTAGAAAATGCTTATATGACCTCAAACCACTTTTAATTTTCTACCAAAAGGCTTCAGAAGCTCTTTGGTGTCAAAACAGGTAATTGATTCCAAAAAGCACTTCCCAAACATGCCTTTAGTGATTCTTAACTTTAATTAGTAAAACAAATACTTTACTATGGTTACTAGTCATGTCGGCCTATTGTAGACATTTGTTGCTACAAAGACAGCTAAAAGAATCAATTTAAAAAAGGCCAAAATTAAAGTAGAAGGAATATGCAAACCTAAAGTATCAATCTTAATTATTTTGGCAAAGAATGTTATTGAGTGGCCCTTGCATGAGGTAATTGTGGCTGAAAAAGGGGAGAGAAAACTTATCACATGGGAAAGTCTTCCAGACGAAATAAAAAATAAACAAAAAAAAAAAAAAAAAAAAAAAAAAGAAGAAGAATTCCATTTGTAGATGGGAGTCTTTGTAAAATAGGTACAAAGACAATTGCAAACCTAACAAGGTTCAAATTTACAAAAGAGTAATGCAGCTGGTCTTTCGAAGACCAATCGTGCCTCCACCTATCTGTTACCAAACCCAACTATAATTGTTATCTTTTCCATTTGCAAATCCCAATTAAGCTCAATGTGCATAGTTTCACTCAAAAGGACACCATTCTCTAGGAGATCCACCCCAATGCGGGGTGTATATAATTTTATTTTTTTAAGTAATGACTAATGCGTAGTGGTAGGGTGGTTAAAGATTAATCGGTGAGGGATTGGAGATGAGATTCGGGGTCACATGGAGATTTAGAAAATCCCATATGGCCAAAGTATTTATTTGACAACTTTAAAATGATATTTACCAACTGTAATGACACTTTAACAAGAAAGTTGAGATGTCCAAATTTCATTCCTACAATCCACTAATGTGTTCTTCAAAATCCCATTATAACTAAATTTAATTAAAAAAGTAAAATGATGAGTGGAGTTCCTACTTAAAGTGTCATGGTTAATATCTTAACTAAAACAAGTTGGGATGAGACATAATGGGTCTTAGTAGATTGAAATTAATGTTAGAGGCTGGGTTGATAAATTTATACTTGGGAGGCAAAAATATACACTAGCTAGCTACAATGTTTTACCTCTCCCCGAAATTGTTCGGGTTAATTGTTAAGCTCAAATAGTGATTCGCGGTTTATAGATACTTTTCTTTGAAATAAAAAAAAAAAAAAAAAAAAAAAAAAAAAAAAAAAAAAAAAAAAAAAAAAAAAAAAAAAAAAAAAAAAAAAAAAAAAAAAAAAAAAAAAAAAAAAAAAAAAAAAAAAAAAAAAAAAAAAAAAAAAAAAAAAAAAAAAAAAAAAAAAAAAAAAAAAAAAAAAAAAAAAAAAAAAAAAAAAAAAAAAAAAAAAAAAAAAAAAAAAAAAAAAAAAAAAAAAAAAAAAAAAAAAAAAAAAAAAAAAAAAAAAAAAAAAAAAAAAAAAAAAAAAAAAAAAAAAAAAAAAAAAAAAAAAAAAAAAAAAAAAAAAAAAAAAAAAAAAAAAAAAAAAAAAAAAAAAAAAAAAAAAAAAAAAAAAAAAAAAAAAAAAAAAAAAAAAAAAAAAAAAAAAAAATTTATAAATAAACAAGAAACCCCCTCCTCTCCTCACCTCTTCTTATCTCCTACTTCTTCTCTCTCTGTCTATCACTCACAAACTTCATCGTCTTTTTCTTTTGCTTTTTTGTTGAATCTGATAGAGCAACAAACCCTCATGTTTCAGCTTAGAAAAGAATTAGTAATTTTGGCCATATAGAAGTTAATTGGTTGATGTTTGTGAGTTCATCAATTCAACTAATTAACAGTACAAAAAAGAAATATATACTCACCCTCTGTTGTCATTGGATTTAGATGTTTATATATTGAATGAGTTGCAATGTTCACTTCTCTTTTCTCTTTTTTTTCCTGTGTTTGTTTACTTCTTTTTTTTTTCCCTAATTACCTCTTTGGAGAATTGGGTTTCCTAATTACCTTTTTTTTTCCTAACCACCAAAAACTCTTAACTGGGGATGGAGCCGGTGATGGGAAGCGGGGGCGGGGATGGTATTGTCATACCCAACCCCTATCTGGCCCGTAGCCACCCTATGTTAGAGGGGGTCTGTTGCAAAATATAAAACTGAAGGGAATGAGAGCATAAACACTGCAAAGTTCTCGTAGAGCTTCTTGTGTATAATTTTTATGAACCAATATCCCCTAAAGTAAAAATCAAGAAATAAGCATTTAAATTATAGATTTTACACATCAAGTTCTAATTTTTGTATATATAAAACCCTTGTATCCTCTTTCAATATTCAATTCAATTCATAAATAGAACATTAAATCATTTACAAAGAGAGAGAAAGAGAGAAAGAAAAGGAGAGTGAAATGGTGGGGAAGAAGAAAAAAGAAAGGGGGGGGGGGGGGGGGAGAGAGAGAGAGAGAGAGAGAGAGTTGAGAAAGGGCATGGGACCCCTCTGGTCCCTACGTGCCTCCGCCATTGGTTAGCTTTGGTCATCATCTCTAACCAGAATGGAGGATACCTAATTACTAAGCCAAGGTTTCCAAAATGTTCTCGATCTAGTTTGTCAAGCATTTTGGTTCTCTGCTGGATAATTGTTGGGTGCCATTGAATTTGAATTGCATAGAAATTTTCTGTTAGGACTCAAGATCCCACATTACAAAAATAGCATATCCTAGAGTAGTTTAAAAGCTCATGAGAATCCTTCCTTTATAAGTTGGTTTTCTAGGGCAAGTTCTACCCATGAGTTCTTAACAATTGATATTAGACTATGGGCTAGAAGTTTTGGTGGTTAAAGGAAATTTGACAAATGTCAAAACCCGGTTGTTCCTTAATTTTAAGGAGTCAAGCCATGCTCGTGTTGGGCCAATTAATAATGGGCAGGAGATTGGTGTTGATTGATTAGTAGTTGGCAGATGACTAGTTTTCTCTTTGTGGAAATTTTCACATTTCTCACTTTTTCACGTACACTTGGTTTCTCAATTTTCTACAATGCATGAACGTAATGATTTCTATGAGTTCATATCATGTACCGCTTCATGTTCTAACAAAAAGACTTGTTAGAAATCTGATGGTCCAACCAAGAAAGGCATGCATGAGATCTGAAACTCCTCTCCCTTTGCCCCATCACTTCTCCCTCATCTCTCTTTCCTCTCAACTCTCCACAACTCCATCTATCCGTGTCTCTCCTCCCATCAAATCTCAAACCCAAATGACCTCTATCCCAAAAATTTACTTGGTTTGCCACTGGATTGCTATAGCTGTTTTACTCCAACAACCCTTTCTCATATCTAAGACTTGGATCTGCGCTTGTAGGCTCTGTTTATCTATGTTCATTTTTTACCACTACTTGATAGATCGCTTGAGTATGATGCTTGGTGGCTTGCTCGCTTGCTCCCCCAAATCCACACTCTTCATATCTCCTCTCTTGGTTCCCATGGACCTTGCTCTTCTTGTGGCAGCAGCAGCTTTTCTGGTGGTGGCGACAACTTGCTTTGTTTGGGGTTTGTGTATTTTGTGAGTTTTTGTTGTTTTGGGGGTCCTATTTTGGTATATTTAGATTGGGCTTTGTTTTGTTATGTTTGAGCCCATGTTTTTCTTTTTTCTATTTTGTTGTTATTGGGCTCCCTTGTATTTTGTATCTTTGTTTTGGAAATGAAGTTTCATTCCTTTCGTTCAAAAAAAAAAAAAAAAAAACATGGGAGTCTTTGAGGGAATAGAAAAGGAAGACTTTATAGTCCATGGTAATAAGTTATGTAATTTGAAGTCTAAATGGCGTATAAAATTCTATAGGAAGACTTGCCGGTAAAGAATATGCATATGGTCATAAAATGAAAAGCAGAAGAATTACTTTGAAGCATGGGGTGGGTGGGTGTTATGAAGAAGAGGGGAAGACTTATCAATCAATCAAGAAAGGCTAGAAGAGACTAAAATAAAGGAGAAACATTTGCGTGTCACAATGTGTCCCTCATGTAATTGGCATTCACTAAAGAATATCACATTTAAGAATAAAATAATCAATGAGAAGCTTTAAGGCACACTCTACTATTCTTTAAAAAATTATTGTTACCACCTATGAAGCATGGACACTAGGGTTTGGTACACAGGGTAATATGCGTGGATATTCGGCATATGCTTAGGTACGTACAATATGTGGGCGAAGGAAGTGTGCAAGGGAAATGGCTAGGTACGTGAGCGATACACACAAAATACAAGAGAGTGGTTAATTTTGCAACTTTTCTTGAACCACAAAACTCATAACTCCACTGCCCAAGTACACCCCAAGTTATTTGACCCAAAATAATAATAATAATAAAAAGAAATGAGATCCCAAGTTCAGTCCCACAGTTTGAAAATTTAGGGTTTCACTTATGTTGTATTGACTCCAATGTCGATATCTCTTCCACGTCTTGCCAATTTCTCTTCCATGTTGCGCTACCACTGAATATTATTTTTGTATCCTAATGCTCTCACTTTGGGGACTTCTCCCTTATATACAATATTGTTTCGCTTCCGACAGTTCTACTTACATATTATATGAGCATCACATCACATGCACACCACTTACACATCACATGCACACAAACAAATAAGCAAATTCATATACACACTACAAAAATGTCTTATCTTCAGTTGAGTAAAAAGAGCAAGATTTGCAAGTCTTTTTATTTGGAAGCATGCAGGACGGGTTTAGAAGCATCTTATATTTTAAGGACTTTTTGATCATTTCCTCATATTTATATCCGAAGGTCAAATTTGTAATATTAATCAATCGAGATCAAATGCTACCCAAAAACCATCACAAATTCTAAAAATACTCCTCCATTTGTTCATAAATCGACACCAAAAAATTCCTCATTTGTCTCCAAAGTTATTAATGGGCCTTAAATGTCCAAAGTTTTTAGTGGGCCTTTAACTCTCCAACCAAGAACCCTGAGACCAAGGCCGCCGAGGCCAACCCTGCCGATGAAGTCTTGCTTCTGAAGCGGGAAGAGAGAGAAGAAAAACAAAAAACAAAAAATGGCACCAGCCAAGAAGGGGAAGGCCAAGGCCAAGGCCAACCCGGCCGAGTCAACTCAGCCCGTAAACCCCAACAACAATTTCCCAACCTCTATTCGGTACATACCTCCCTCCTCAGTCGCCATCACCATCCACGCCAAACCTGGTTCCAAAATCGCCTCCATCACTGGTCCTTCTCTTTCTCTCTCTATTTTTATATGTATAGGTCTGTGTATTTCTAGAATATAATTTTCTATTTTTTTGAAATGAAGATTTCAGTGATGAGGCGTTGGGGGTGCAAATAGACGCGCCTGCAAAGGACGGGGAAGCTAATGCAGCGCTACTTGACTACCTCAGCTCGGTTGGTCCTGTTTCTTTTTGGGTTATCCCTTTTCAACCTTTTTTGTCTTTGTTTTGTTTTGTTTTTTGAGCTTTTTTATATGGAATGCCAAATTAAAGTTTGATTTGAGAATTCTTAGGTTCATTGGTGCATCATCCTATTATTGTTAGTGGGTTGGAGACTTGGAGTTGCATTTACTTGTTTCGGGTTTTTGTGATTAGTGTGCTGTGTCTTAAGAAGATTGTGTGGTTCTTGAAAGATCCTAACATTCATTGTGATTGCTTATGTTAACTTCAATTGGGGAAGTGATGCTTTAATTTGTAATTTGTTGGTCTAATGCTGTTGCTCTAACCGAGCTTTGTTGGGGAAGTGATGTTTTGTTTGTATCTTTTTGGTTGAGATTGTCGTTGCTTTAACCAACCTTTGATTGTGAAGTGATTCGGTCTTGCAAAGGAGAGAAATATTGAGCCAAACTAGAGAAAAGTGTGGTGAAGTGGTGATCTGAAATGGTGAAACAAACTTACTCATGGGATGAGCTTGTGGAAAGGCACAAGGGGTGGATGTGAGCTCTTCTAAGGTTTCCTTATGTCTAATTTATTCATTTCAAGATGATGTGTGATGTGGCCAAGAATAGCCACAGTGCAGAGTGTGAAGGGTGGATTTCTTCTTTCTCCCCCAAGCATAAAATGTCTATTCCTGGACCACTTCATACCACCCGTCCATCCTATCTACATCACAATTAGCTAGTAAGAAAGAATAGATTTGATAGATTATTTGGTCAAACACTGATTTGCATTTTGGGTAGATTATATACTTCAGCCGGTATTGTTTCTAGAGATATATTTTTGTTATCATTTTTCAGTTACTCGTCTATGACTATAAGTATGTTGAACTTCTACATTCAAATACATTCTAAAGTCGTGCACACTCATATACATGAAAATATACTTCTCTACCCATCATTTGTTTATAAGTTGGCAAGATAAGGTGGCACAGTAGCTTTATGGCAGGGTTGGCAAAGGATTTGTGACAGAACAGATTCTTGAGAAAGTTCGAAGGGAAGATTAATTTCAATTTAAATGATGGGTACAGAATGAGGCCTATACTTTTGAGGGTCTAATTTGTATTATTATGAGTGAAATGTAGCATAGTTTTCTAATAATTTTTCAGCAAGAATATAAAGTTTCATATTGGGCATTCTAAGCCGTGCATCTTACTATAGAAATCCTAAGGCCTCTACACCCATTGCCAAATGGTTTTGAGTTGCATGCACTAAATTTATCAATTTTGTTTTGGGGTCTCAACCCCTCAGTTTATTTGGTCTACTCAACCATTAATCTTTATGCTTGGAAACTTCAAATTCTCATTCTTCCCAAATTACAGGTTTTAGGGGTAAAAAGAAGGCAGGTTTCTATTGGTTCTGGCTCCAAATCAAGAGACAAGGTTGTTATTGTGGAGGGGATGACTCTACAAAGTGTTTTTGACATACTGGACAAAGCTTCGAAGTCCACCTAATAGAGTGAGAGATGAATTTGATCCTTGAATGAGACGTGAAGCTTGATTGTACTGTAGCAGCTAACCGAGTTGCTTGTGTTTGTTGGAAATTGTCTTGTTGATGTTCCAGGTACTTCAAAACTGGCATTGTTTGCGCTGTCTACACACAAATGACTACTTGTTTATAAATGCATCTTTTATTACACTTATACCACAATGAGTACATTACATTATATGAATAATGAATTGTGTTCATACTTATATTTCTTGCCCTTGTAACAGATGTTCTATCTTTTCCTTCATCTCGTAAACAAGCATGAATGCAGTGCCCTTAGCCTCTTATTTCTATAATATTTGGAAACTTAAGTTTCCTCCTAAAATGATAAAATCTAGGTTTTGCATCGTCATTCCTGAAAAAAAAAAAAAAAAAAAAAAAAAAAAAAACTTAACAATCGGGCATGTTTTCTCATTATCAGTCTATTTCGGGTCTTCCCTCGATAATACAGATCCAGAAAGTCTCTCCTAACTGTTTACCCGTTTGATGTAGTTCCTATGGTGGTAGGGTAAAGTTCCCCATTGACTTAAAAAACTATTGGTGATCAACAAGTCAACTTTCTTTTTGTATGCGAGTGTGCCACTGTTAATGGTTAAAACCTTGACAAACCATGAAACGTAATAATTTGCGCCTCAAGCTACCAACTTTGATCAAGTGATTGTGAATTTGGGTGAAGAATATCTCTCAAGTAAGTTTTTTTCTTGTCTTAGACGGATGAGGATTTTATAATTTCCCACAATAAAACTAGTAAGTCTAGCCAGAATAAGTGTTTGAAAAATAAAATAAAATAGCTCAAAATGAAATTGTCTATTACACAATCAAACAAAAGAAAATTTTCCAAGTCCAAAAGGACATCAGAACATTGTACTTCGATTTCTGTTTGGATTGTTGCCTGCGACGAAGGCTGGACTGGATGTATCTGTGTTGGAATTGCACGTTAGCACCTTCAATTGATGGGGTTCAGCGAGAAATCGATACCAATGTTGAGATTGGCAAAGCTTTAATCTAGTTTGGCCACAGGGAGGCTTTTCGAATGGGCAGATCTAGGATCTCTTCAGTCTGGACTGGAATGGAAGTGGCTGGATTGGCGATTGCTGGTCTGGAGCTGTACTTTAGTACCTGTTCTGCTTAACTGTGGATCACTTGAGAGCTATTCTGGTGATTCTAAGACATCAAGGCATCTCTGTAAATTTGTTGAGGTTTTCATATTATAAAAACTTGAATTCTACTTGATTCGCCTACGTTGAATCAAATTTGTAACGAGAGAAATCTCGTCTTCTTTGTGAACTATTTCTTTGAGCTGAGCTGAAGTCAGAAGTCTGATTTATGCCTGTTTTGTTTAGGAGCTGGATGGCTTTTCCAACCAAATTGCTTGATTGCTTCAGAGTCTGAAAGCTTTTGAGATCGTATGATCTTGCTTGATTTTGTCAGTATGATTGAGAGTTTAGTTTTGATTGGATTTTTTGCTGTCCTCTATCATGTTCACATTCGCCTATATTTATAGGAGATCTGCATGAGTGATTATTCCTTAAAATCTAGAGGACACATTGTTGAGATGATCCTTTGCTCCAACGCAAAAAAGGGTGGTGGCTTTTCTGACAAGAAAAGCTCCCATCAAGAGTCAGTCTTCATGATGATTAGTTTTGTTTGGGGGTGGTGAAAATTCACCAAACCCGGGCACTTTTCGAAAACACAAGCTCCGGGTGTGAAGAATGGCGGTCAGGTTCGAGAAGATGGTCGGGTGTGAGAATTGACTCCAGGCGTGAAGAATGGCAGCTGGGCTTGAGCAGCAACCAGGCTTGAGAAATTTGGTGGCCGAGCTTGAGAAGTTTGGCTGTCGGGCTTGAGTAAAGGCCGGGCTAGAGAAGTTTGGCGATTGGGCTTGAGTAGTGGCCAGGGTAGAGAAGTTTGGTGGTCAGGCTTAAGGAGTTTGGCGATCGAGCTTGAGTAGCGGTCGGGCTAGAGAAGTTTGATGGCAGGGCTTGAGAAGTTTGGCAATCAGGCTTGAGAAGTTTGGTGACCAGGTTTGAGAAGTCTAGTGGCCGGACTGAAGAAGTATCGCGGCCTGGTTAGAGAAAGTCATGGATTTGTGCCCAGGATTTCAGGAAGAGTGTATGCGCGTGGAGGTGGCCTTACAAGGAAAGAAATCAATGAGATTAATGATAGTTCAGAATATTCCAAACACAAGAGAGAATCAAGCAATCAGAATATCTCCACCAATGTAGTCCCAAGGATTTAGGGGGCCACGAAAGGAAAGAATTTTAAAAGAGTTGACATTTGGCCATTCAATAGCTAGCCCATGGGTCAACGGGCGCCCTATATAAACTTCACCAAACGAAGGCAAAAGACACATATCGCCAAACACGCAAACCTATTTTTCGTCTCGCACTTTTCTTTTCTTAGACTTAGAATTTTACTTTTCGAGCACCTAGTGTAGCAAGTTCTTCCTTTCCTTAATGCAAGTTTAAATTCTTGCAATTTACATTACATTGTCATTTAAGTTCAAGTTTATTTCAATCGCTTTTTTTTTCATTGTTATTGAATTTTCATTAAGTTTAAATTCAAGTTTAATTTGGTTTACCTTTCTTATTGTTCTTATTTCGTTTTTGTTTATTTATCACTTTGATATATTTTATCGCACTTTAATTCTCGTATTTACGTTATTTATTTTATGCACTTTACTTTATGCATTTATCTTTAAATTATATTTAAGTTTAAGCACATTTACTTTACGCATTTGTTCTTTGTTTCATTATGTTTCACTTTCAATCTTCGTGCCCGTTTGACATTGCTTATTTGGGATGATAAGTGATTTTTTAAAAAATTTGGAAAGCCCAACCCCTTTAGTAAACTGTGAGAAAATCACTTATTGTTAAAAATTGCTGTGAGAGAAAGCTATAAAAGAAAGCAGCTAATGAGGTGCTTTCATTTTCTAATTATGCAGGAATCAGTTTTGAGAGGTGCTGGGTTAATGAATATGCGTCAATCATTTTCTAATTATGTGTAAAATCAATACCAACAATACTTTTAATAAAAATTTTACCAAATGCCAAACTGCTTTCTCTCACAGCAAATCCGATAGCAATTATTTTCACAGCATAGTAATGCCAAACTGGCCATTCATCTCCACCCACTCCACAATATTTACAATAAGCCTTGACCCTGAGGTAATGAAAGAACCTAGGTCGTGAGGAGGTTCCGTGCTCGGCCAAACAATCGTTTGATTAAAGTTAGATCTCGGGCACAACATACACTCACATTCCATTCAAGCCAGATTCATGGATTGGTGGTGGCACGACCTGCACTCAAAAAAGAAGAATGACCAAAAGTTCCTTCCATCGACCTACCAGGCCGAAAAGAGGGAAACAAGTTTTGACTTTCTAACAACCAACTCTCTTATTTCTTGTTTATCTCTTGTAAACTTAGCTTTGTTCTGACCAGAAATCCTCACGAGTATGGGAAGAAAACTTGGCCCTCTTTTCTGGCATTAAATGGTTATGGGGAGTGGTTTTTGATTTTGTCTTTCTACCAACTCCCCTAGATGTCCTCCGTCCCCTTTATGTGGATGTCTTGTCATTGGGGTCACGTGGGCACTGTGGAGAGAAAAATTCTCCCAATTATCTGCTGATTTGATTTCTGAATTGTGATTAACGGTGATGATCAGACTTTGAGCCCTTTTGGAAAAGATTTGGAAGCTGGGTAACAATTAAGACAATTAAGACTGGCTTTTTCTAGATTAAATTACTACTAATGGTAATTAACTTTTAACCTGTGGAAATTTATTTTGCAATTGGTTTAAATTCCAATCTTTGTTTTTCAAAATGGTCTGAGTTTCTTTAAAATATCATGGGCTAACTGGTAATTTGGTAAAACAAAACCCAAACCCCTATCGTCAATATGAGCCAATAGCCAGATGGGCTGGTGTGTGAAAATTAGGCCCAAACACTAACTTTTCATGATTGTACTTTTTCTCAACAGGTAAGGCACATTCTTACGTTCCCCACCTTAGTTAATATAAATTTAGTACATTGGATTTGTTCTTATTGGTCCTCCTTAGCTCCCTTTCATTTGGAAAAAAAAACGATAACAACAAGAATTGTATGGAAACCACATAGTCTAGATTGTTTTAAACTAAATGTTGAGGCATGTCTTTAATCTGGTCATGCTGCTATTGATTTGTTATTCGTAACGACTCCAAGGAATGTTTAAGTAGCAGGTTCCATTAGTATAACGTATGCGATGGTTTTGGAACTAGAAGCCATCGGTACGAAGCAAGGACTTCTAAAGGCTAAACTAGTCAATAGCCATGTTGAATGAGATTGTAAAGTTTCTTTTGTGATGATGCCTTTGCTGATCTTCTTCCGTGAAAATTATGTGGTAGGGTATTAGAGAACAAGTTCAAAGTGCCTCGTCCGTCTGCATCATCTTCATAAAATCAAGGGTTTTCTGCAGTTTTGCCTCCTAATTATTTTTATAGGGTGATGTTAGGGAGACCAATTTTAGATACTAACTTGTGTACCATCTTTTTAATAGAGATGAAGCTCATCAATACAATGGGTCTCACACTCTATTAGAGAGATGATATACAAGTTGATATTTAAAGTTGGTCTTCTTAGCATTTTCCATTTTTATATTGTCAATTTAGTTCCTTAATAAGTTTTTCGATAAATTAAGAACTCCAATTATTTTAAAATCACCAATTGAGGGCCTACTGTCAGATTCTTAAGAACACCATCCACTTTTCCGTTAGACTAAGGCCACATTCGTAATTTTGCTGAAAATTAAGATTAATCCAAATTAGAAGTGGTGTTATGCGACGACGTCGAGGGCTGGGGCTACGTTGTGTCGAGCAGACACTAAGAAGGGAAGAGGTCGTGGTTGCTTTGTGGTTGCTCTTGAATCCTAAAGCAATGGAGATTCTGGATCTAATCCTTTCTTGGCTTGCCTAATCCAAACATAAAGGTTAACAATGGAGGAAAAATGGCTTTTCTTGATTTTCAAAGCCAGCAGCCTCTATAGACCCATCATCCAAAGCATAAGGCTCGTTTTCAACTGGGTTTAGCCTAATCTTGGCGAAGACCTCGTCGGTTTTTGGGTTCTCCATGAATTGGATAGAAGCCACCGAATTCGGGGAGTGGAGTGGAGAGATTTGGGCGGCTGGGTCAGGGGAAGGGGAGGGTGGGGACAGAGAGATAAAAGGTGGAGGGTGGGGGAGATGGAAGAGGAAGGAGGTGAAGGGGAAGGTGGGGCAGACAGAAGGAGAGGATGGTGTAGACGGAAGGGGAATGAGGGGAACGGGAGGAAGAGGGGGGAGACGGAAGGGGAAGGATGGGCGAGGGGAGGGGGAGGTTGAGGTTTAAAAAAAAATTAAAAATGTTAAATATTTCTTTTCTTTAAATTTTAAATGCTAATTTTTTTTAAAATTTTAAATGTTTAATCTTAGGTAGGTAAGTTTTTTTTTTAAATTTTTTAAAATTTTTTAAAATGACGAATTTACCCTTAATTTTGATGAAAATTTGGATGGAATTTGAAAAAATTGACAGTAAACCCTCAATTGGCGATTTAACTATTGGAGTCCTTAATTTATCGAAAATTTGTTAAGGAGTTAAATTGACAATATACAAATAGTTGTGCAAAACTGTTAAAAATCCTAAAATCAAAGAAGAAAAATGCACCGATTCATTGCCCGAAGAAAACGAGTCAACTAGTTTTCCTTACGTCTGATTGGAAAAGTCTACATAGTCAAGTTCACAAATTCTGGGACGTACTAAATTAGAGATAGTTAACAATCTGACGATAAAGTTAATAAACAATTTGAACAAAAACTTTAATGGAAAATTTGGAGCATCTTTTGGACACGTAAGTGATGTCAATTTGCTCACTTAATTATAAAACTAATTCTTCAGATTATGTCAGTTTTGAAAATTCATGTTGACAACGAAATCTCAGTCTGTCTAGTTAATTACATGGACGCAAAAGTCTCCGCCAACGTCAACGCATGACAAGTATTCCATCACAGAATTTTCGTTGTATCTCTCCTTTGAATCTTCTTATGTTAAAGTAAATTACATATGGATGTTGAACTACTCCAAAGAGAGAGAAGAAACAAGTACGAATTCATTTACACCGTCCACCTTAAATTAAACAGAAATTCAGAATTACAACTTCATACTGCATTGCAACCAATTTTCTGGAGTGCTGCAGAAGGGAAAAAAAAACAAAAACAGAGGAAGAGGAAGACAAGTTACACTGAGATCATTTTTCGATGGCTTGCTTGGCATGCCTTCTTGCCTTGGCATTTGTTGCTGCTGAAGCACAACAGATGCAGTCGAATATAAGCCAGGGCTCTTCTTTAACACCAACCACCAACTCCACATGGCTGTCACGTTCTGGTCTGTATGCCTTTGGATTTTACAGGCAAGGGCAATGGCTATGCTGTTGGGATATTTCTTGCTGGAATTCCCCGAAACAGACAGTCGTGTGGACTGCGAATCGAGATAATCCACCAGTCTCCAACAATGCCACCTTGCTCTTCACAGGTGACGGCCTTGCCCTGCCAACAACAGAAGGCCAAAATTACTTGGCAAAATCTTCTGGCTCTGCTTCTTATGCTTCCATGCTCAATTCGGGTAATTTCGTGCTGTACAACTCTGGTCGGGAAATAGTATGGCAGAGCTTTGATCATCCAACTGACACCCTTTTGCCCGGTCAACGCCTTTTATCAGGAAACGAACTTTTCTCCGCGAAATCAGAAGCTGATCACTCAACGGGGATTTTCCGTCTCAAAATGCAAAATGATGGAAACCTTGTTCAGTACCCTGTAGATACTCCAGACACCGGTGTTTATTCTTTTTATTCATCTTCCACTGATGGCGAGGGAGAGAATGTGACACTTAATTTTGGTGCTGATGGCCATCTCTACTTGCTCAACAGGAATGGTACGAATATTCGGAATATAACAGATGGGGGTCTTCCTACTGATGAAGGAAAACTTTATCTTATGAGAATTGATGTAGGTGGGATATTTCGTTCGTATTCACATGATTTGAAAAAGAATGCAATTTGGTCAGTTGAGTGGGAGTCTTCCAAGGATAAGTGTGTTGCTAAAGGCCTATGCGGATTGAATAGCTATTGTGCCTTAATTGATCTAGAGCCTGACTGTAAATGTCTTCCAAGATTCGAATCTGTCAACCAGGGAAATCAGACATCCGGGTGCGAGAGAAATTTTGTTTCGGATGCGTGCAAAAACAGGAATGAGAATTTCACTTACACCATGGAAGAGCTGGAAAGCACAACATGGGAAGATGTTTCGTATATGAGTTTGAGATTATCCGACAAAGATGATTGCATGCAAGGCTGTCTGGAGGATTGTAACTGTGAAGCTGCGCTTTTTGACGGTACAAACTGCAGAAAGCAGAGGCTTCCTTTGAGATATGGTAGAAGAGACACTGGAACTTCAGACAGAGCTCTCATCAAGGTAGGTGTACCTACAAAACCAGATACAGATCCTAGAATCGTTCAACCAGGAAGCAAGAAAAAAGGTAGAACTCACATCCTGATTATTGGTCTTTCATTTACTGCTTTTGGATCCATTTTGTTGTTGATTTCCGTGATTGTGTTGTGGAAACACAATGTCTGGGTATATAAAAGAATGAGTGCTGTGAATGGTGACCTTGAATTGAATGAGAGTGTGGCTCCACGACGATATGCTTATGAAGAGCTAGAAAAGATGACTAATAATTTCAAGGAAGAGCTTGGTAGAGGAGCCTCGTCAACAGTTTATAAAGGGCTGATTTTGGGTACCCAAAAGCCAGTTGCTGTCAAAAGATTAGAGAAAGTTGCAGCCGAAGGGGAAACAGAATTTCAGACTGAGATCAGAGTTATTGGGAGAACCCATCACAAGAATCTAGTCCGTTTAATTGGGTATTGCCTTGACGGAGCGAAAAAGCTTATGGTGTACGAGTACATGAGCAACGGCTCACTTGCAGATGTGCTCTTCACCCGTGAAAGGCAACCATTTTGGGAAGAAAGAATGGGCATTGCTCGTAACATAGCACGGGGGTTTCTTTATCTCCATGAAGAGTGTGATACACAGATCATCCATTGTGACATAAAGCCTCAAAATATACTTCTAGATGAGTTCATGTGTCCGAAAATCTCCGACTTTGGATTAGCAAAGCTGCTTAAGGCAGACCAAACTAGAACAACTACAGGAATTAGAGGAACCAAGGGGTATGTTGCACCGGAGTGGCATAGGAAAATGCCGATAACGGTTAAAACAGATGTTTACAGCTTCGGAATTGTGCTGTTGGAGATCATATGTTGTTGAAGGAACGTGGATTGGAGTCTTCCTGAGGAGGAGGCTATTTTGGATGAATTGGCCTCCCATTGTTTTGAGAAGGGTGAACTTGGCAAATTAGCGGGTGATGAAGAGATAGAGAGAAGGAAATTTGAAAGGATGATTAAAGTGGGACTTTGGTGCATCCAGGATGAGCCATCGCTCCGTCCCTCTATGAAGAAAGTTCTGCTGATGCTGGAAGGGACCGTGGACATCCCAACCCCTCCCAGTCCAAGTTCTTTTTTCAGTGCCATTTAAATGAATGCCTGTGTCTCAAGAGTGAAGTAGCTCTGGTTCCAAATTCCTATCTGATGCTGATATGCTTCTTGTTTTCCTTTTCTATGTACCACAACTCTATCATGTATGATATTATTATAGTTTGGCTTCCTCTTGTAATCTATATTTCTTTTATCCGTTTTACTTTGAAGAGAGGTTGGTTGTTTTGGATATGAGGGAATTTGGCTTTATTTTAAATTTTCTGTGATTCCCTTGACGAGTGCACCTTTTGGCTTTATTTTAAGCTTTCTGTTTTTGAGTGCTTTTGTCTTGATGTGCATGTGAATTATTTGGTGTTTTTTGTTTAGTTTGTGAGGAGCATTGGTGCAATAGCACCTGAATGTGTATATAGGAAAGAACTCTTCGAAGTGGGAAGTGTTGGCGAGTTCTTATTTAGTTAAGATTTTGATTACTTACTATGTTAGGATTTTGGTTACCTATTTGTCTAGTCTTATTATAATTGAGATTTATTTCCTATTGTAATTTAGTTTTATTTTCTATGTTATTTAGGGTTAACATATCTTTGTACTTCTTTATAGATACCTATACATTAGAGAAGAATACACGTATGGGCATAACTGAATATATGCCATACTTTATTTGACTTGGTATCAGAGCCAGGTTTTCTTGTGACTTGTGCTTGAGTTCTCTTTGCAAAGGATATGTTTATTGACATATCCCCATTACCTCGAAGTATGAAAATATTGCCTACTTTTTGGCTTCGACGACCCATTCTCTTTTGGGGGAGATGACAGGACTCGCCCCCAATTCCTTGGAATTCATTATGGATCCTATGGTTTTTTCGACATCCAACCGATTCCAGGCCCACTTGCTAACATCCTACCTCTCTTCCAAATCAAAAGAGGAAAGGGTCGAGACTTTCTACTGAAATTTCGGCAGAGTCTCCCCTAAAAAACGGACTTAACCAAATTTTTAACTTGTTAAAATGCAGTTTAAAATTTTCAAACCTTAGCATGCACAATCATAAGTAGTTGTACAGACTCAATCAATAATCATTCATCAATCTAAAACAAGTTTCCGCCTTGTCACAACCATAAACCAAATTAAAGTCCAAAAATATGGTTTATCGTGTGGCTGCACCTGGGTGAGACCTTAGACTGCCTACGTACCCTTACCAAGGGATCAAGTGATAAGTGCATCATTTTCTATATTTTAATACCTCTTATATTTGGTTGTTTTTAGGGAAAGCTCATTAAAAAGAGTATTATTACCTTACTTTCCTTATTTTCAGCTATTCTGCGCTCTTGGAAGGATTTCGACTGAAAATTGACTTTTTGAATGAATTTTAGAGCAAGGCCAATTGGAGAAGAAAACTAAGACATTGAAGATCATTGTGACAAAGTTTCATAATTTTCTTTGAAGCCAAATGCTCCAGACTTGCAAGTCAAGACAGCCTAAGTTGAAATCCCATCAGAACTGCACTGATGTGAAAGATTGAAGATTTGACAACCTATACGATTTTTCCTAGTGGCTTGTAATATATGCTTGGAAAGCTTAGAGATAAAGCTATGTTTTTCATATTTTTCCAGAATTTTCTAGGAAGTGGAACGACCCCAAAACGTGTGTCCAAGTCAAAGAAGGATTCTTTCCTAGTTTATTTCCTTAATTGTTTGGGATTTTGTTTTGCTTTAGGAGAGTTTTTCCAGACCTTTTTAGAATAGGGTTAGTTGTTTTACACTATATAAGGTCACCCTAAGCTCTCTCTAGGGACAGTCATCTTTTTCACCAACTTTCATACACCAAGAGAAATATAGAGCCAAGAATTTGCTACTGCACTACTTGAGGAGCTTTTGAAGGTGTTCCTGTGGAGAATCCAGAGATCAAATCGGTTTTATGACAACAATTCTCTTGTTTAACTTTTCTTTTGTCATGAACTAATTTTCCTTGCTAGGGCTACGATGTAGCCTAAACATGAACACTTAATTTTTATAATTATATTAATTTCTAATTACTATTCCATGTTGAGTATTTGTTACTGTTCTTATGACTTTCAGATTGCACAACAACTGTCCTTAGCAGTAGTATTCCTATAAGATAAAATAATATCCTTATTCAACTAGTTATAAATTTAGCAGAAAAATTAGACCAAATACAATTTAAAAAAAGCATAAATTATAATAGTAAATGGAATTGTCATAGTAGTAAAGTGAGAGTAGACATATAAAGAAGAGGACACATAAATAACCACATAGTGTTAAAGAAAAGAGACTATCCTACTGATAACATATTATAAAATAGACAAAATATGAGAGTACGATTGAATGTTGGAGTGAAATTGAATTTACTTTGTGATGCTATGTTGCTATTCCAGGATCTAAATGTTGGCTAGGTAAGTGTCCTGTAGTCAGAGGAGTAGTTATGAACCCTGTAGACCATCCCCATGGGGGTGGTGAAGGAAGGGCCCCAATCGGTAGAAAAAAACCCGCAACCCCTTTGGGTTATCCTGCACTTGGAAGAAGAAGTAGAAAAATGAATAAATATAGTGATAATTTGATTCTTCGTCGCCGTAGTAAATAGGCGATAAAATATAATTTGTTTCTTCATCTTTACAAATAAAAATAAAATAAAAAAAGGAGTAATTAATTGTGACACGTTCACTAAAAAAAATCCTTTTGTAGAGAAATCATTTATTAAGAAAAATAAATACACTTAACACAAAAGCAGAAAAAGAAATACTAGTAACTTGGTCCCGAGCGTCTACCATTATACCTACAATGATCAGGCATACTATTGCTATCCATAATGGAAAGGAACATTTGCACTGGCAGACCCAATACATGCCTACTGTGGGCAGTTGCCCACACTTAGGTGGTTTCTTCACCCATCTAGCCAAACACTTTGCCAATAAAAATAAGACACTTGGCTAATATTTGCATGAAAATCCCCACTCAGCACCCTAAATAAGTAAAGCCAAGGTTTTAGCCCAAAACCTCTCCTATAATGAAAATATCAAGGCCCAAGACTTAATAAACATGTGGTCCAATATATAAAGCCTTAGATTTTGGTCCAATATATTAAAAAATTATTGAAATAGATTATGTGATAATATATATCATATTGCTATGAACACTTAGACTTTGCAGGAGTCAGCTATGAAATTGTTTTTTATGCCCCCAGATGGAAAAAAGTCTGGGTCTGCCACTGCATTTCCTATTATTAGTACTTATATTTAAAAGTATTTATATTTAAATTACATATTTTATTAAATTTATGGGTGAACGACATGAATTGAACCCATGCATGGTGGATTCACAATCCACTGCCTTGATCCACTTGGCTACATCTACCCCTTGTACTATTACAAATATTTATACCATTTATCATTACTTGTAAGATAAAATACAACATAAAATAAACTGAAACTTTTAACTTTAACTAAATTTTGTAGTAAATTAACTAAAAAAAATGTAGAACAATATAGTAAAGTTAAGTAGTAAATTATAAAAATACTAAATAGTAAAGGAGTAATACCAAATCTCTTGATATAACATATGATATCAAAGAATGAAGAGGGAAAGTACTTCTCAAGCAAATAGAAAGTAACTACTACATTTTCTTCCAACTTATTTAGCTTGGAAACATCTACCGTCTTTGCACATATAGCATTGAAGAAGAAGCACAATCGAGTTATTGCATACCTTACAGGCTTCTCCAAAACAGAACGAATTGCCACAGGGAGCAATTGTTGCATCAAGGTATGACAATCATCAGATTTAAGTCCAAGAAGTCTTGAATCTTTTAAAGATGTAAGATTTTTAATATTTGAACAATAACCTTCAGGGACCTTCATACCATAGAAAGAATTGCAAACCGCTCTCTTCTTTGCTCTTGACAAATTCCAAGGCCCTAGAGGCAAACGAATACGTCTTTCTCTATACTCGGGTTGCAAATCAGTTTTGACCCCCATGTTCAATAAATCTAACCGAGCAGCAATCCTTTCCAGGGATCTCCAACAATGTGTCAATGATACTATCGCAAACATTCTTATCAATATGCATAACATTTAGGACATGCCTCATATGAAGGTATTTCCAATACTCGAGATCAAAGAATTTTGATTTCTTCTTCCAACAAACTCTATCACCATCATTCTCACCAACACTTCCCCCATTTTTCGAGCCCCTATATGTAATTAATATCTTCAACCATGTGCAACACTTCTTCTCCAGTTAATGGCTTGGGAGGCGTGTCATATTCAGGTTTCCCATTAAAACCTGCATGCTGCCTCCGATATGGATGATTGATTGGTAACTATTTTCTATGCCCAATGTAACAAATGTTGTGGCCATTTTTCAACTTGTGACTAGGTGTATCATCACCGCATATTGGACAAGCTTTATATCCTTTAACGACACAATCAGATAAGTTCCCATAGGCAGGAAAATTATTAATTGTCCATAGTAATACACCACTGAGTGTAAAGTATTCTCATATGTGTGCATCATATACTCCTCTAATCCCATCTCACAGAGATTTTAAATCATCAATCAAAGGCTCTAAGTAGATATTTATACTATTGTTTAGGACTGAAAATTAATAAGTTAACATCATGAACTTCCGTTTCATACATAGCCATGGTGGGAGATTATATGTAACTAAGATAATTGGCCAACAACTGTATTTGCTACTTAAAGAACTGTGGGGATTGAATCCATCAAATGAGAGAGCCAATCTCAAGTTTCTCGGCTCTTTACCAAACTCGGGACATTTATTATCAACAAGTTTCAAGACAGAGAATCTGCTGGATGAGACATATGACCGTCAACTGATTTTCTAGTAGCATGCCAAGTCAAACTCTTAGTTGTCTTATGTTATTGAAACATCCTTTTAAACCTTGGAATTGGAGGAAAATACCACACCACCTTCTTTGGCACACCCTCATTTAAGATTGAATCTTTGCCTTCCTTCCACCTTGAGATACCACAATTAGTTGAATCTTCATAATCCTTCCTATATAAGATGCAGTCATTGGGACGTGCGTGGATTTTCTCATAACTCATCCCTAAAGCAGACAATGTCTTTTTTGCCTCGTACATAGAGGAATGTGGTGTATTTCCTTTTGGAAGCAAATCTCCTTGAAGTATCAATAATTATGTAAAACAAACATCACTCATACCATGTTTTGCTTTCAAATTATATAACTTCACCAAGGTCAACAACATCGTGTACTTACTGCAAACAAAGTACAAGGGTTGATTTCCATCCCCAATCACATTGGCAAAACTCATAATTATCAAATCCAATATCGCCTAAATCATTATCATCCATCCCTAATTCTTCAGAAACAAAACTGAACCTACTTCGCTTATCTTCTTCCACATTTCTACTAGCATTAGTAATCCATTCCCAAGGTTCTCCGTGCCATGTCCAAATCTTATAGCTTCGGTCAATTCCATTAAATTATAAGCGGCCCCTTATAATTCCAACTCCAAACAATCGAATATTCCTACATTTAACACATGGACAACGAATATGAGTTGTATTTCCAAGATTTTCTACAGCAAAATTAAAAAATCCTTCCACCCCTAACTCATATGTCTTCGATCTTCTATCTGCATGCATCCATGACCTATCCATCTCACACACTATAAAATCATATATATAATAAAATGAAAAGACCATCAATGAAACACTACTATATTCACATAGTAGAGAATAAATTGAAAAAAAAATTAAACAAGAATCAAACGACAGTTTTTACAAAATAATCGTCGTGTAATAGAGAGTCAGACGACGGCATATCTAGTTACCGATGTCTTTAAGCTACCCAAACCATGTATTTGTACTGCTTTTTGAAGAACCAGGTCCTAGGTTCTGGTAGCCTAAAGACCATAAATGAAGAAACAATCGTCTTTACCAAATGCAAACAACAACTCAGACGACGGTAGTAAATGAAAACCCGACGTATCCTAAAAATTTGGACGACGGTTTGTTCCACCGATCGTCGTCGTGGTTTACAAATAACAGAAGTCTAAATCTCCCGTCCCCATTCCTTTTCCATGAACCCGTAACAGAATGCAAACACCAAAACATAAAAGAACCCATATATAGCTCCCAATTAAGAACCCATAGCTCCCAAAACATATATTAAGAAACCAAAGCTACCAAAACGAACAAAAACATTTATGGATTTTACAAACTAAGAGAATATTGAAAGAGGGTTGAGAGAATATACTTGCATGGATATTGAGAGAGAGTTGAGAGAATATAACAAATTCTTGAGAGAGAGTTCATAGAATATTCCCAATGCTTTGAGATAGAGCGAAAACTTTAAGACAAATTTATGTTGAAGAGAGAGAAGGAAATATTTTAGGGTTAAAGGAAAAATTTTAGATTTCGGTAAAAAATTTCAAAGGATTGTGTTTTTCAAAGACGACGGTAAATACAACACAGTCGTCATTTAATTGTACAATTACGACGACTGTTAAGGTAAACTGCTGCCGTTGTAAATCATTTTTACGTCACCTCTATAAAAATCGACGTCTAAAGTATTAAATAATTAGATTTGGTTTGCATTTCCTGGGATTCGAACGTGCATAATTGACCAAAAAGAGCAAGAGAAGACCGGCGTCATTTCAATAAACCCTAAACCCTAAACCCTAAACCCTAAATTTTACAATAATTATAAAAAAAATACACAAGTATGAGAAAAATGAACCGAAAATTGCTATGGACTCCTTACAACAATGCCTTCTATATAAGTAGGCTAAAATCTGGATTAAATAATTTTGAATTTTATGAACACCAATGGATCACATAAACCTTAGGGTTATGTTATAGAAAGTATAAGGACTATTGTGCTTTGTCTCTAAATCTTTTTGACTTTTGTTATCACTTGTAATTTTGAAATCTAATATTAAAATTTTCAAGCCTTTAGAGGGGAGATATTGTCTCAATGAGTGCATAGAATTTGCCGATTTATTTTCGGATTTTTAAAAATATATTATGAATATTAGTAATTAAATACAATAAAAAATATTTCTAAAATTTCATTTTTTAAAGCTTTAGGGGAGAGATAATCTTTCAATGAATGCATGGTAGTTGTCAGTTTATTTTTGGAATTTGTTTTGAATTTATTATAAATATTATGAATTAAATAAAATATAAAAGTCATATAAAATTGAAATGACAAATGTACATAACCTGTAACAACCCAGGTCATTAATTAATATTTAATTATTAATTTATTCCAGTAAAAGACCACTATACCCGTAGAATATTTTAATAGTTTAAGAGTTGACTTTTTGACCCGGAAGGAATTTGGGGATTTTAGTTATACCGTTGCGTAGAGCGCAGCGAGATGAGTCCGTAGACACGTAGTGGGCTCAAATCGGAGTTGTAACGAAGGAGTTACGATCAAAAGAAGTTCAATGACATAACCGTAAATATTTCGAAGTTCAGTTTTTAAAAACCCAGAATTCTCCTCTGTTGGCAGCTCGACCAGCTGACTTCCAAAGGTGATATCTCTCAGCTCCGACCACCGATTCGAGCAAGACCGGTGCCAAACGAACCACCTCACTCCCCTCTTTAAGTCTTAGCCCATCCCGGCCTCGATCCACCGTCTTTGTCTCCGGAAACTGCCACGAAACAGGGCGGTTTGGACAGTTTTTCGATTGAATTTCACGGAGCTCGTTTGGACTCCTCCGGCCTCCAAATCGGACGAGTGAGGTATGGTTTTCTAGCTATTTTCCATGCTCTAGCTGATGATTGGGTAGGATTCCAGAAATTCCAAGCATAAACACTTCGATTATCAAGCTAGGTTTCAGCTGGTTTTGAGGGTGCGATTCCGACCACTTCCGGCCAGTTTTTGGGGTAGGTCCAAGAACAATAGTGGCTCCAAATAGGGTGTTACACCTAGGGTAGGAACCTTGAGCCGTGGTTGGGAGTTTTTCCGGTGATGTGTTATTGCTTTAGGCACCACGTGCTACCGGCGCATGTGGCGGCACGTGGGAAGCAGGGTGGGGACCACAGTCAGTCCTAGAATAATCTTCTACTCCCCACGAGAGCGTAGGATTTCGCGGATCTTGATTCGGTTAAAGTTTGAACCTCGAACAGATCTTGCCTAGCGTGTGATTTCCGGGTTCAGCAGGTTTGAGCCGTTGGATCGTAGTCATGTTCAAATATGTTGATCTAGGTAATTCCAAGATCGTATAGTATTTGACGGATTGTAAAACGGAGTCCTGGATACTCCAGGAATGGCATCCCTAAACCAGTACGGACCGAAATGAGTTATCTAAATCTTGTTATGGGATGAGCAGGTAGTTACTTATATATTGCGACCCGGATAAAAGCAGTATCTCCGAGGCCTGCCAGTTTGCAGATCAGGAATAGAGGAAAGAACTACGTGTGGCTTGATCCCTTAGTAAGGGTACGTAGGCAGCCTACAGTTACCAGGTGCAGCTACGAGTTGGAGTCTTTCAGTTTGTTTTATTGTTTTCAGTGCATTTTGGTCATTTACGACTCACGTCCACCAGGTGTCAGTTTTTAAACGGAGTTGGACCCGGATTCTAAAGTGGAATTTGGGTAAGGTCGTTTCATAACCGACGTTGCATCCATTTACAACTTCGTTAAACAACACATGACGTCATCCTAGATGATATTAGACGTCAAAATTCAACCACCGCCATGGTTCGTCTTTACAACATCAGCTTGTGCTGAATAACCGACATGGGCAGCGTTTACAATGTCGATTCTTTTGTAGATGCTGACGTTGTTTATGTGTACAATGTCACATTTGGTCAAGAAACCGCCATCGTATGCACTTAAGATGTCGTTCTTGTTGTACGAACAGACGTAGTATATCTATAAAAAATAAAATTCGTAGATTTCAGTTTTAGATTAAACCGTCGTGTTTCTCTCTATTACATGTCGTTTTTAAGAATTGCTGCCGATGTTTTATTTCTCGCTACAATAAGACGTCAATTGTTTATACATATGAGACGTGTAAATTACAATAAGACGTCAGTCTTTGGGAATTAAATTAAGTTTTTATGATTTATTGTCATTTTAGTTCATGTAATGACATGAATATCCTAAACCAAAAAAAAATTAAAAAAAAATTAAAAAAAAATTGATTTTTTTGATGATTGTTCAATTAATTACCAAAAATATATTTATGTGCATTGTCAATAAATTAAAATAAACCTAAACATTGTTAACATAAATTACATTACTTATTATTCTGTAATTGCTTGTAAACGAATTCAACCCATTCCAGCCTACCTTATCAATATGTTCTTGTACATACTGAACTGGTTCCTGTTTCTTGGCAAACTGCAAATAAAGAACAAAAACCGATGTGTTATAAAGATTAAAACGACGGGTTTTAAAGAAAAAGTCGAGGTAGTAAAATAAAGAAATTATATCTTAAATTTTGCCTTTTACCTTCTTCTCAAATGCTAGGCATGTATCATAAATTATCTCTCATGAAACGCATCACGTAATAGCCACACTCTACATCAGTTGGTTGTCGAGGAGTGACATGTAGATTTTTCCATATGGTTGATTTGCGTGATGATTGTTTGCTTGTGTGAGAGTTATACATTTTGATTGAACTGTTTCAAGAAAACAAAAAGTGTTAATGACAAAACTAAAAATCTAAATAAAAAATATTAAACGTCGTGGTAAATAAGTGAAGACGACGGTTTCGTAAAAAAAGTGACGTTTTATTTCATTTCAAGCGTTGATAAATAAAAACCGTTGTTGTGTAGCATTTTAACGTCGGCGACAACGAAAAACGACATATAACCAAAAGTTGTTTGTAAATGAAAGTTGAACAGAAAAAATTAAAATGTCCTTAAATGAAAAATATAAACGATGTGGTAGTTCAATTAAGACGACAGTTTACAGAAAATATTAATGTTGTAAATGATTTCAAACATCAATTTGAAGTTACCGTCGTTGTGTTTTCATTATAACGTCTGTATTAGAAAAAACTGTCGTATCATTCAAATGCAAAAACAAAAAAATCTTAGATTTTCATAGATAAACTTACGTATTCACTATATTTCTCATGTCCTCATCAACAGAGCGGTTTGGCAATGAATCCATGTAATAGACAGTCTCCTTAGCTGGTCTCACAATTATTAACGCCCAATGACCCCTACACATAATGATACATATAGGTTAAATATACTACAAAGAAAAATATTAGATGACACCAAGTATAGTTAAGGGGACTAACCCTGGATTATAAGGCACCAAGTAAAATTGATCCCCATCTGCATTTTTCAGGCAGTCTGAGAGATGTTTTGAATGGTAAGATAACGTTCCAGATTGAGAGCTGACTTGTTCAGGGTCCACGAGGCCAACAAGGTTTACCATATTTGCCAATTTTAAATAGTCAAATAGATACCTAAATATATGAAATTCAATTAAATGAGATTTTAATTTAAAAGAAAGGAAATGTAAAAAATAATAAATAAATAAAAAAATTGGATTTCGAGAGTATCTCATGTATACTGCAATCACTGTGGATCCAATCTCAACCATGGAAGGAAACTACAAAATAACTTCACACAAGAGGAAGGTATCATGGTCAGTGCCAAACACTTCCTCTGGAATGTGAATTCTAATGGTCTCGTTAGCAGGCTTCAACTTGGTCTCAACAAATTGGCATAGGGCTAACAGAGGAGGTGGCATGTCTAGCTTTGATAGATCCTGTTACAAGAAATTAAAAAAGAAATATAAGTTAGTTTGTACATCAAGTTAAATAAACAACTCTAACTAAACCAACCAAACCGACGTAGTATATAATATAAACGACGGTTTCTAGAACACACTGACGGATAAAGTTATAGATGACGGTAAAGACATAACCGTCATTGTGTAAATGTTCTAAGGTCGCTAAACATAGAAAGGTCGTCTAATTAAAATGCAGTGAAGGCTTTAATGAAATACACGACAGTTTATAAAATAAAAACCGACGTAGTAAAATACTGAGACGACAGTTATCAACAACATCTATTTAAAATTATAAATCATAAAAAATCAATTGTTAGAGATTTAATGTAATTGGAGTGATAATGTATTTTCTTTCCCATCATTACACTCTACTTCAGTATAGTTTCTCAAGCAACCGAGGGTCCTTTGGTCGGAGTTAGCGTAATTTGTTCCAGGAAGGCAAAGACAATTGGTTGATTGTCATAAAATGTGCAGTAGCTGTTAAGGCCACAGAAGTTGATAAGTCCATAAATTTACACATTTATGTACTCTTTATACTTAGGTTTTGTAGGAGAATTTGATTTAAAAAGGACTTATTACTTTATTTTCTCAATTTTCAGCTTTCCAGAGCAAGTAATTTTTTTTCATCGGAAATACTACTTTTTGGTGGAGTTTTAGTGCGAGACCAATTGGATATGAAAGCTAAGACCTTGAAGATGATTGCTGAATTTTTCTAGAATTTCCGGAGTAGCCAATGAGAGCAGTCTTTGAGGTTAAGTCAGCATAAGGTGCAATCCCGTCAAAACTGTGCTGTTGTGGAAGAATGACTATTTGAAGACTTTCTTGATTTTTCCTCAAGATAAGACCAAAACCTACAATTTACATATTTTTCATTTTATTAATTATTTTTCTTTATTAATATTTACTTTTCGTTTTTTTTAGTTTTAATTTATTTATTTCGTTTTGATTTATATTTATTGGAAATTTCAGGTTTTTGGAATTGATTTGTGTTTCTTGTTTGTCTTGTGTTTTTTTTTAGGTTCGGCTTAGTGTATGATTGGAAGACGCTTTGAAGGTCGGGACCTCATACTGTTTGATCCTGAGATTGAAAGAACAGTTAGGAAACGAAAAGACAAATTCACTCACTCACTGGAACATCAAGAAGACGGAGGTTTCGTTGAAAATATAAACGAGAAGAGTGACGAGAACGTTGGGGAACAACAATTAGTGCAAGAGGAAGCAAGGGAACGAACACAACCTGCTCGAGCTATGAAGGAGTACTCCATCCCAACTCTTTCCAACACTCCATCACGTATTGTAGTACCAGAAGTTGAAGCAAATTCGTTTGAACTTAAGTTCGGAATGATTCACTTGTTACCATCTTTCTATGGCAAGTCGAATGAAGATCCTAAATGTCTCTGATGAAGTGGTTAGGCTGAAACTGTTCCCATTTTCATTAAAGGATAGAGCCAAAGCTTGGCTTCACTCACTGCCAGCTGAATCCATTAATTCATGGGAGGGATTAGCTAAAAAATTTCTCCAGAAATTCTTCCCTGCGCAGAAAACGAATCAGCTTAGAAGAGATATCATGCATTTTAGTCAAGGGGAGCGTGAGCCATTCTATGAAGCTTGGGAGAGATTTAGAGAGTTGCTGCAAAAATGCCCTCATCATGGCATTATTGATTGGATGCAGATGCACCTCTTTTATGGAGGACTTACAACTGCAAACAAATGAATGGTTGTCTTTGCATGCGGAGGTGCATTGGTGGAGAAGACATCTCAACAAGCGTTTGATCAATTTGATTTGCCTACAAATAATAATCAACAATGGGGTAGTGAGCGGACAAAGAAGGTAGGAGTTTATGAAGTTGACACGAACTCATCCAATGGAACTTTGTCCACCTTCACCACATCAAGCCTTGAGAAAAAACTTGAAACTCTTATGCGTGCTGTTATTCCACCTTCACCACATCAAGTTTGCACCATTTGTTCTGACCCAACTCATCCAATGGAACTTTGTCCATCTACTACGCAAGGTTTTGAGCAAGTTCACCAAGTAAATTCGTTTCAACGACCTCGGAATGATCCATATTCGAACACCTATAATCCAAGGTGGCGTAACCACTCAAATTTCTCATGGAGCAACCAGCAACAACAAGCTAGTTCTAGCCATCCCTTCCAGCAGCAAATGCAGCCCTCAAGTGAGCCTAAGAAACCTACGTTGGAGGACTTAATTGCTCAGTTTGTACAGACTTCTCAACAAAATTAGAATACTATGCAAGCGTCCATCACTAAGTTAGAAACTCAAGTAGGTCAACTCGCTACTATTGTTCATGAGCAAGGATTAAAATATCGGCCGTGCAGATAATATCGGGCCTCCAATTTACGGATATTTCGGGGGATATATCGTTATCGTTTTAGGTATCGTGAAAAAATCAACAAAAATGACAGATATAGGCATTGAAACACATAATTTTGGTGTAAAACTTTCATAGATGTTATGTACATTATCAATTAATGTATTGAACAAATAAAACTCAAAATTTACTAATAATAAGATATACATGTGATGAAATATAAGTTGTATGTAATGCGCATTAATGAAAAGTTTGAAAATAAAATGTTAATTAGAATAAATAAACCATGCATAAATCTATAGTTTGTTTAAACATTGGATTACAATTTAGATAAGTGTCCATCTACATAAATGAAGAGCTCCTATGAGGTTCAAACAATGAGGAACAACCATCTAGATTCATACAATAGTCATACCAAGTCATGTAACCCAAGCAGTTTGTAAGCCATGTTTGAACATGGTGCACATAGGTCTCTCTTGAGCTCTCTATTGTCCTCCCATATATGGGATAGTTAGGATTAACCAACTAGTAGGTCTATAATCTTTTTTATCATCTTGAGCTCCATAACTAGTTCCACTATAATCAGACATGACATAACTATAGTCATCATAAGAGTTAATACTAGGTCTAGTTCATATGCTCATAGATCCAAAACTGATCACCATGTCCTCTTCAGATGGATTGGAGGTATGTGGGCAGCAGATTGTACATAGATTCTTCATATTAATAAATTATAGGGTTCTGGGCAAGGATTATCTATTTTTGGGTTTCAATTTGCTTCAATTGCCTTCAAAACTTTTGAATTTTTTTTTGGGTTTTATTATGGGTATCGGGAAATATCGGGGATATCGGCAAAATATCGGGGATATCGCACTTATCGAGGATATATCGTTGATACAGGGGAAGATATGACCTTACCCCCTAATATCGGTGTCGACAGTTGAAAATACAGATATATCGGCAGATATATCGGTGTATCGGCCGATATTTCAATCCTTGTTCATGAGAGGGCGCAAGGCACATTCCCAAGCCAACCCGAAATTAATCCTCGAAATGTTGAGCACGTCAAGTCTATTAGAACTCTGAGAAGTGGCAAGTCATATGATAGACGAGAAGAAGCCATGACAAGTGCTGGAAAAGAAGATGAAGGTAGAGAAGAAACTAAAGGACTACTTCCAGCACCTACCCAAGGCAAACCATGCGATTCCGAAAGAACCTCTAATGATGATCAAATCGCCCCTGTCAAAGAAAGGATTTATGTTCCCCCACTTCCGTTTCCAGCAGCCCAACGAGTCCATAAACGAAAGAAAGATCAAATGGATATTTTGGAGATTTTCAAAAAGGTCCATATCAATATTCCATTGCTGGACGTTGTCAAACAATTTCCCTCCTATGCAAAATTTTTGAAGGATGCATGTACAAACAAAGGAAATTCGCAGCTCATGAAAAAGTGATGTTAACTGAAGAGTGCAGTGAGTTTTACAATTCCTTGCATTATTGGTGATGTTCAATTTGATAAAGCATTTTTAGATTTAGGCTCAAGCATTAACCTTATGCCTTTGACTATTTTTCAAAGATTAGGAATTGGAGAGCTCAAGAGCACTTCCGTTTCTCTTCAACTTGCGGACAGATCAGTCACATATCCAAAAGGAATCATTGAAGATGTGCTGATCAAAGTGAAGCAATTTGTGTTGCCGGCTGATTTCCTAGTTCTTGATATGGAGGAAGACTGCAACATCCCACTCTTGCTAGGCCGTCCCTTCCTTGCAACAGCTGGTACATTAATTGATGTGCAACAAGGAACTTTAACTTTGAGAGTTCAAGGGGAATCCGTTGAGTTTAAGGTGTTTGAAGCTGTTAAAAAACAGAGGGACTTGGAAGAGTGCAGTCGTATAGATCTCCTTGACCCAATTGTACATGTCAACTACTTGGAAAACACCTCTACAGATGTCTTGAAAGCCAAGTTGGCACCCCCATCCATACGTGAAACGCAGGGGCTTTTCTCTTGGACGTGCTGGAATTTATCAATGTTGTATCAAAAGCTTTTCCAAGATGAGCCGGCTCTTGTGGCATTTCCTTGCCAAGGATCACACCAAGACATTACATGACAAGGCTATTATTCGCAAGGAGTTTTGACAACAGCCCAAGCACTATATGGAAGAAGTAGCATTCTTTGCTACTTCCGCACCACCATAGACATTCGAAAAGTCTAGCTCATGACTATAAAGAAGCGCTTCTTAGGAGGCATCCCAAGCATTTTTAACTTTTGTTTTTGTTTTTTTGTTTTTAGTTTCTATGTGATTTCTCTTACATTTATCATGTTTTTGTTTTTGTTGTTTTTGTTAAGTTTTGCGTCATCAAACAAAGGATTTTGTGTTCCAAAGAACATTTTTCACATTTTTCTAGCCCTAAGATGTTTGCAGCACATTTTAGATGTGTTACAGAAATTTGTTTAGTCATTGGTTGAAGTTAAATGCCAGAAAATCGCAAAATAGCTTAGTAGGTTCTTATTTTGGTGAAAATCAAAATTTCTGCCTAATGTCTTTTTTGTTGTTTTTCAGGTCAATCTGAAGCCACCGACATGTTTAGAATGGTTATTATGATGTTTTGGACTAGGTTTGGGGGTCTCCGGTGGCCTACATTATGTTTTAGGACAATTTGAATCTCAAAAAAGAACCCAAAACACAAAAAAAGGCAGTTACTGTTTTGCCCAAGAATTTGAAGATTTTTTGTCACCAAAGAGGTTTTAGCAGCAGTGTTCATCAGATTTTTCGTGCTAGAAGTCGGATTTCCAGATTTTTATGATTACATATCCAGCTCAGTTTCGTTCCAATTTCATCGTATTCCAAGACTTATAAGAGCTATTACAAGTCTGTTGACATTCCAAGAAGCAAGTTGTGGGTGTTTCAGTTCGTCGCATTGTCGATCCACTCTCACTTTGACATATTCTACGCTTTTCTCATCCATGCACCTACACAAACCCGGAAAGTTCTCACACACACTCTCTCTCTCTCTCTCTCTCTCTCTCTGTCTCTCTAAATGAATTTGCATGAATTATTTTTCTTTGTTTTAAATATTGAGGACAACGTTTGTTTTAAGTTGTGGGTGATTGAGTTTTTTGGTTTCATAATGTATGTAGCAGTCCTCTATCTTTGTTTCAAATTCTGTCCTTGTTCACTGCTATTTTTGTATTTTGGCCCGCGTGCGTTCTTTGTTTTTTCGTTCTGAATCCAACCATATAAAGAACGTAAAGTTTGGCCAAGTAATTTATTTGTTTGTGATAGTCACTTCCCAATTCTATGATGAGATTGAATTTTATTTACAATTAACTTTCAAGAAGTTTTGAGCATGACACTAATTCTTTACATTATCTTTGTGCTAGCCTTATTTTTATGATTAGACTTGGGAAATCCTTATGCACATAGCCATGTTAATATGAGTTTCGATTGGGGATTTCACATGATTTAAATGGCTAAATAAGAGCTAGTGTAAACTTATGTAACCCTCATTATGTGAGCTTTTGAGCCTATGCCTTTCTTTCTTGAGTGTTATATACTATTCTATAATTTTCTTGTCTACATTGTTGTGATCTCATTATTCTTTGTTTTTTGGTCAAATACTTGAGGATGTTTAAATTGTTTGCAAGAACTACTTTCATTATCTATTTGAGGCATACTTCGTGAACCACATGGATTCTAGGAAGTGATATAGGCCTTGTTTCTTTCGTTTGAGCCCTTCTAGCCAACCCATATCACTTTTATCCCTAGTTAACCCCCTTGTGCCTTTTGTGTAAGCATTTTTCATTCTTCACCCAATTCTCCTCACCTTAATCTATCATATGTTTATCCTACACCCTTCTAAGGAGTTTTGTAGAGTATTTTCGTTGTTAAGGGAGAATTTCACAAATTGTTCAATCATGTGGAAAGTTATTAAGGATTACAAAAAAAAAAAAAAAAAAAAAAAAAATAAAAAAAAAAAAAAAATTTATTTTTTCGTTTCGAACGTCCCTTTCCATTTACTTTTCGAGTTATTAAGCCCTAGGAGTGTTTTACATTTAATGCCCCAAAGCTATCTAGCTTGGGAGTCATTGGCCTAACCCTCGCTACATGGGTTGATTAGAAAGCTAATGGAGTTAGAAAAAAAGAAAAAAGAAACAAGAAAAAAAAATGATTCAAGACAGTATCAATATGAAGTTTCGTGCTCAAAGTGCAAAATGTTATAATTTTCATGGAAAGCTCTATGAATTCCTTAGAATTTGTTCATCCATATCTTTTTTTTGTTTCACCCATCACCCTAAGCCCTATTACAACCTTAATGAAAGTCCTACTTGATCCAAGGAGAAGTGTGGTTCCTCATGTGGAGAATATGTGTGGAAGGACTATGATCGGATGGTTTAAATGTTTTCAAGTATGCGATATCTTTCCATGAGATCTTTTATCTATGTCATGTGCCTTTATTTCAATTATGTGAGTACATCATATTGCTTTGATTCCTCTCACATATTTATGAGTGACAATAACTAGTCAAATTTCGAGTGCTTTTATTGGAGTGAATATCCTTGATGAGATTTGAAGTTGAAGCTTGTTCTTATTTGGTTATTTAACTTGTGTGAAGCTTAAGTCGTGGGTTGTATTAATGTTGGCTATTTCACACACTACATCCAAGTTGTTCAATTAAAGTTTGGTTAACCCTTTGATAATGTCTTGAGTTATTGTTGCTTATTTCTTGAAAGTTAGCTAACGGTTGGTGATTATCTCTGAGATCAATATTGGGAAGTTAGTCGATCGCTTGTTTGCGTTGGGTCTGTATTCTTTTGTTTTTATTTTTCGTTTTGTTTTGCTGGAGGACTAGCCAAATCTAAGTTGTGGATATTTGATAAGTCCATAAATTTACACATTTATGTACTCTTTATACTTAGTTTTTGTAGGAGAATTTGATTTAAAAAGGACTTATTACTTTATTTTCTCAATTTTCAGCTTTCCAGAGCAAGTAATTTGTTATCAACGGAAATACGACTTTTTGGTGGAGTTTTAGTACGAGACCAATTGGAGATGAAAGATAAGACCTTGAAGATGATTGTGGAATTTTTCTAGAATTTTCGGAGAAGCCAATGAGAGCAGTCTTTGAAGTTAAGTCAGCATAAGGTGCAATCCCGTCAAAACTGTGCTGTTGTGGAAGAATGACTATTTGAAGACTTTCCTGATTTTTCCTCAAGATAAGACCAAAACCTACAATTTACATATTTTTCCCGAGTTTTCTTGGAGGAGAAACAACCCCAAACGTGCGTGCAAAGTAGCTGATGTGTTATCCCAGTCCAAGTAGGAAGAGGAATCAATTACTTACCCATTTTGGATTTATGTTTTAATTAGGTTTTTCTTTATTCTTGGGCTGCTGTAAAAGCCCAGCTAGGGTAGGAATAGATGTGTGGTGTTTTATTTAAGCATGAGAAACAACTCCCTTGAGGACATGCAAAGACTAGGAGAAATTGGAGACACCGGAAGAGTACCGCAATTGGCTAAGTTTTATTGTTTCTTCCTTATGTTTTTGCTTATGTCGAATTCTATGATTATGTGTAACTAATTTTCTCTTGCTAGGGCATGATGTAGCCCTAGTATGATAATCTAGTTTTCTTATTTTACTTATCTATTGATTGCCGTTTGATGGATTCTTAATCACTGTGCTTAATAACTTGGTTTCTTATCTTGATGCTTGATCACCATCTAGACTTTTAATCGAGTTAATCGGATGCAAATTAGAGTAAATACCATACTTAATTTGAGGCTTGCTTCTTGCGATTAGGATTTGTAATTCGTCTAGGGTAAATACCATACTCCTAGGGTTTACATGCTTGTTCGAGGTTTTCACTGATCTTAATGAGTTTCTATGTGTTGATATTTGACCTAAATACCATAGGCGAATTGCATGTAGGAATATACGAGTTAGCCTAAATACCATAGGTAATTCATGAAAAAGGAAAACTAAGTGGCGACATCAAATGGTTAGTAAATAGGTAGGTGAATAAGAGGCTAGATCGGATTACTAGTAGTGAATTCATTGTCCTAGTGCTTTTATCAATTTGAATTTCTCATCCTTGTGTTTCGTGACTTTCTACTTATTTTGTCTTTTAATTTCTTTGTTGATTAAATCGTTCTTTCAAAAACCCCTTTTTGTGTTTACGTGAGTATGCTACGCGTTTAATTTCTGTTTATATAATTAGAGTAGTTAAACTATTTTGTGAAAGTAAATTAGGTTAGACTAATTGGGAGTTGAAATCAATCCTCGTGGGAATGACCTCGTATTTGCCATACTATATTACGATTGACCTTGTGCACTTGCGAGTATAATTTGTGTTTAGACTAATCTTTATAATCTCTATTTTTTCAGGTTGTCTAAAATTCACAACAGAAGCCTTTAGCATCGCAAGGATCATCCAGTGCTTGCCACAGAATAAGGGATGGCTGGAATTTTCCAGTACTCTCATCATATACATGAGAATACAACCGGAAATTTCCTTCCACGTCAACAGTCGCAAGATATATGGTACCCTTTTTGTAGATGGTTTTGGACGATTCATCATAATCTAAAACATGGATTTCTTCCCAATTAGTGTTGTTGATGAGAACTAGACGACCTGTAGCGTTAAGATAAAGTTGAAGTTGGAGATAGGTTCCAGAGCTCCAATAGGAATCTGTAGACGAGTTTTCACTATTTGCCGAGTATAGAACCAGGTTTCCATCAGCCTGCATGTCGAGATGGAACCGTCCTATTAAGTGGTCATTTTCCGAAAGACTGGAGAAGAGTGAACCCCCAATAGGCAGAATCTGACCTCCGAGGGGAGTATCAGTAGGATGATTAAAGCTCTCCCAGATGACATCGCACCTTTCATTATACAGAAAAAAATTTCCATAGTCGAGCATGGAGGCAGAGGAAGCTGCAGAGTCCGTTGGTGAATAAGTATCTGTAGTGACGATGAGGTTATTTTGTCGTTCTCTATCACTTAGAACAAGCTAGCCGTCACTTGTTAACCGCAGCATTGCATTTTGTTATGAAAAATAATAGTTTCCTTCTTTCCGTAAAGCCAAATACAAAATATTTATATTATAAATAACATATAAACAAATTGAAAAGCTTTGAAGGTATAATGAAATTGAAGAAAACAAAATAATAGGGAAATAAAAGGAAAATAAATAATAGGTAAGAAGGTGAGTTTGGTACGGTGAAGCACGTCAAAGACGCTGTCCTAAAGCCTTTGTAGCCTCCCTACGTGCAAGTACTGACGGTCTACAAGACTTCAAGATACGACCCCTTGTACACAAACTCAAGATCTGCTATGACCACGTTCATAGACAGATATAGGTATCCAAGTCACATAACCATTGCCCAAAATAATAATAATATAAAGTAAAGAATATATGTAAAAGTAGAAAAGGAAAGAATTAGTTTGTGGTGGTGATTGTGGTATGTGATATTCTGGTAGTGTATTGTGTGTCTTGTGTGTCTTGTGTGTGTATCAAATGTGAAGGAGGAGTGGCCTTTTATAGGCATCCAAAACATGTAACCTTCACCAACCATAAAAGTTCACCAACCAAAAAATTAAGGCATTCATTAACCAGAAATAAAGCCTGAATATTAAATATTTATAACCCCCACAATAAATAAAATAAAAATGTCAAAATAATTAAATAAATAAAACAGTTTAATTTTTAAAACCTTTTAAAATTCCAACACATTTGAGGTGACTGGGCGATTGTCACCATTTGCTGTCCAGACAATTGTTTTGTTCCCACCAGCCAAATTCCGACTGCAAATCCTTCTCCTTCCCAATGCAAAATGGCCAGAAGGAGAAGGCCATGAGCTTCGGCTACTTATGGGAGAAAGTGAAGAGCCTGGGCTTATTAGTTAGGTAGAATTATTTTGTCGAGCTCCTTCATCTCGTAGAGAAAATACAGAAAGGAGAAAGGCAACAATCCGAATACTGGAAGCCATACTCACATATGAAAATCTGGGATTATTTTCACTCCTTAATTTGAATTGATAGGGCATGAGAGAGAAATACGGTGGTTTAAGGTGTGTTGACTGAGCAAGTCTTCTTATTGAGTCAACCACAAATGAAAATCATTGCTCATGATAGAACCCACGCAATCATAATCTTGACCATGACAGAATATATTGCTCTATCATTTATCTGTATAATGTCGAAGTAAAGATTTTATAGTAGAAATTACCTTCCCATCTTTATGTTTCAAGAACATAATATGATCAAAGTTACTTTGTATGTAGATTTAAACACAAAACCTCGAGAACATAGATAACTACTATTAAATTATTAATCACTTGAGCTACAAGGCCCTTGGGTAAATGCTAATTTTTTGAAAAAGATAAAAGGCTTATTCATTTTAAAATATGACTTTTTGTATGGCAAAAAATTTAGTGGGGGCAGGGCAGCTGCCCCTGGTGGCTCCATCCTACCTTCTCCTTGTCCCTAATGAACAAGTCTAAAGAGACTTTGGCATAAGAATGAGAAAATGAGGCGTACCTCAGGATTCTATACATTAGAGCCCGAAATTTAGCAACCCTAATGTATAGCCATTACACTACCAAAAAAACAAAAAAACACAACAGTCACTTTTTTTCGTGAATTTTGGTAGTATTAGCCATGAATATTCGTGACTAAAGCCATTAGTAACGGTGTAGTTACAAATTTTGATCCTGTGACTTCTGTGGCCGTAACTATTGGGTTTTCTCACAAATGGTGTTTGACCATCCAATTGCTCCAAAGTGGGCCCCACATCATGTCTAATTAAACTATATTTATATTTTATTATTTTATTTGATACTGCGCTGTTCAACATCATTTCATTATTTATATATATATTTAAAGAAATCATTTCCATTATTATTTGTGTAATATATTTTTCACAATTATAATAATTTCCAATTCTTTTTTATTTTTATTTTTAATTGAAATCCAGATCCCTTACCGAAAACCACATTACAACACTTAAACCAAAATACCCATCACCCAATTATTCGCTGAAATCACAATCAAAGCTGAAAAAATCTGAGTCAAGACCCATAATATATATATATATATATCATCCTTCCATAAGAGTTGAAACTTTTAACCAAATAATTCAAACCAAGAAACTTAAGAACTAGAAACCAAAAGAAAAAATTTCAAACACAGTCTAGCTACATATGTAGGAAACAAACAAATGTTCTTCAAACACTAAACCAAAGACAAAGACAACAAGATCTAGGCCAACATCGTTTGAACACATGAAGGTTTAGATTGACGGCGTTGACGTCGCCGTTGGTTGGGCTTCAACGTGGCTGTCATGTCATAGCGACAATGGATGGAAAGTGACGGAAGGAAGAAGAAGATGGGGAAAAAATAAAAAAATGAAGGCGTTGGGAGAGATGAGAAATGGGGAGAATAAAAATTACAAACGAAAGAAAAAAAAAAGGGGTTGGTTTGGACGCATCTTCAGATGCACATGCATGCTCTCACATTTTTTATTATAATATTTATTATTTAGAGTAACTATTACTAATTATATAGAGGGAAAGGAAAAGAGTCTTGGTTAGTGAGAAAGATTCCATCCATATATTTTTATTAACATATCATTGTAAATATTTTATTATGGGAAAGATTATCCTCTTATATTTTATTACATTATTAATATTCATGTGTCAGCTATATCAAAATTTATTATATTTAAATCATTAAACAACAATAATTGTGACTAATTTGGTTAAGAGCGTTGACCACCCATAATTGGCACCAAAATAAATTAGTTACTTAAAAAAATGTGACTATTGCTTCCTTTTTTTGTAGTGTTAAGAGATTGAAGATGCTTTTAGATCCCCAAAGATTTTCCTCTATAAAGTGGTGGATAGAGACCCAATTTGAAAACCACCATTGTGAATGCTCTTAAGTTTGGATCTACTTAACATTAAAATTATAATCAATTCAAGTCTAGAAACGTTTTATTTGACATGATACAAACAGGAGAAAATTAAAAAGAAAGAAAGAAATCTAGAGATTTTCCAAGCTACACCAAATTAAAATATGAATGAGTCTAGCTATATATATCCATAAATCAAATCAAGATTATTTGATTCCCTTGACATATATGCATATGCATTACTTCAATGCTTAAAACAAAGATAAATCAACAGTCAACAGGCTTGGCGAAGCTCTGGAGATGGAGCGACTGGTATATCCGTTGTCCCTTCCAACATCAAGATTACGTTCTTCATGAGGGGACGCAGAGCTGGGTCGTCCTGAACACACCACAGCCCCACTTTTACCATTCTTTCTAGTGTCTTCAAATCCACATTTTGTTCGTCATCTTCTACAAGCTTGTATAATTTTCCGGCCTTAAAGCATTTATATGCCCAACTAGAAAGAATCATCTCAACTGGAACTGAAACTTTTAACTCTATGTTTTTTCTGCAGCATACAGTCTCCAAAAGCACAATACCAAAACTATAGATGTCTGATTTTACTGATATCAGGGCGTTCTTCTGCCATTCAGGTGCCAAGTAACCGCTTCTCTGTTCGACTCCGGCAGCTATTTTTGTTTGATCATTTGGCACCAACAGCCTCGCCAAACCGAAATCGGAGATCTGGGCAGTCCAAGAGTGATCCAGAAGTATGTTTTGAGGTTTCAAATTGCAGTGTATAATATGCACACCGCACTCTTCGTGTAAATAGAGCACCCCTTTAGCCACATCCAACACAATTCCTACCCTTTCTCTCCAGGAAGGGCGCACGGTCGCGGCCTTATTAAAAAGAAGATGTGCAAGCGAGCCACTGCTCATGTATTCATATACAAGAAGCTTTTGGGAGCCTTCGATACAGAAACCAAGCAACTGAACCAAGTTTCTGTGATGAGTCCGTCCAATAGTAGTAATTTCAGCTTTGAATTCCCTCACTCCTTCTTCCACAACTTTCTCGAGCCTTTTAACAGCAACAATTTTGTTGCTAGTTGACAGAGTTCCTTTGTAAACAGCTCCGAAAGTGCCCCTTCCTAACTCTTCCTTGAAGCCATGAGTTGCGTTTTCAAGCTCTGCGTTTTCAAGCTTGTATTTGTTGCAATTGCCATTAGTATATAGCGCTGCCTTACAACTACAGTCTTCCAGGCAAGAGTCGCTACAAACTTGCGGGTTCTTCAATGGCACCACTGAATAAGGATGGTCAATGGGCCATGATATATTGTCGACAGAAGCTACCTTGTACCCTAGCCGTGGGTCTTCATTGCCAGTGCAGCCATCGTCACTAGCATTCTGATAGCAGCCTGGAAACATATCAACGGGGTTGATTACAAAACCGGGATAACATCGACACTCAGTTTTGTTCGTCTTTTCCAGGACTGCACAATAACTGTTTAAGCCACAGAAACCTTTGACATCACACTGGTTATGCAAATTGGACCAAACAATCGACACCCTTGAGCTGGGGCTCATCACAGAGTAATTGTGCAAGTACAATCTGAAAATCCCATCGGCATCCAGCGTTGCACGGTGGACAATAGTTCCGTCATCATCATGGGCATGGTATGAGCCAGTTGCCAAGGGATGTGCAGTTTCAGGAATCAAAACGAGAAAACCTGATGCGTTCAGACTGAGCAGTTGCACGGGACCAACAGTGTTGGAAGACCAATAAGCATTTTCGGAAATGGTGGAGATATTTACCGGGTAAGAAACGAGGTTTCCATCACCCTGCATCTGCAGCGAAAATCGTCCGCTAAAGTGGTTGGATGCAGACACACTAGATACCAAATATGTGCCAGCAGCCAGATTTTGACCCCCTAGTATGGTATCAGTTGGGGAATCAAAGCTCTGCCAGATAACCTTAGAACGATTATCATAGACTACAAAGTTTCCATAATCAAGCATAGCAGCTGAACTTGCTGTTGTTAAAAATTACTGGCAATGGGTACTTGTTCACCTTGCTCAGTTTGAAGAAGCAGACCGTCTCCCGTTAGCCGTAGCGTAGAGTTGGAGGAAACAAGCGGATCATCTCGCCGTGCAGTCCAGACGACTATGCTTTGCTCAGTCTGATTAAGTTCATTAACAAGCCATATCCCAACAGTGAAGCCGTTGCCTTGTCGATAGAAACCAAAGGCAAACCGGCCAGAAGGTGAGAGCCATGAACTCAGGTTAGAATCCGGGGATAGAGAGGAACCCAATTTGATGACATGTGACTCATTTGTTGCAGCCTTTACAATAATATTATCATTGATCAAGATAATTAAAGCAGAGAGTAAGAACAGAGCTGCCGGTACATAAGCCATGTATATGAGAGAGAGAGAGAGAGAGAGAGAGAGAGAGAGAGAACCTCTCAAAGATTAAACAAGCCAGGCCAATTAAACAAAACAAGAATAGAAAAATAAATATTTGAGTAATCTATTTTCGTCCCTGCTGATCAGTTAGACTTGACTTACGTGTTGTCTTGTCATTTACGGCAATTAGTGAGAGCAACTGGGTCCTACCGTGGAAATTTCCTCCAAATGCATAAATGTAGAAGTCCCTACTTGCAGCAGTGAAACTTAGTATTACTATTTTGCTGTACTCTATGAATAATACAATGTCATGTGGAATTACTATTTTGCTATACTCTATGAATAATACAATGTCATGTGGAAGTACGGTCACGTGTGTCAAAACGTCATTGGTCAGGAATAGCAAACTCTATCCTAATAAATGATTTGATACAGTCAATAATGTAAGGCGATGTAGAGAGTATGCTAAATTGAAGATCAAATTGCATCAATTGCTTAAAAGATCATGGACCTCTCCACTCATTACCCATTTGGTTTCGGTAATTTCCTCATTTTAGAGAATTGTTTTGGTAGTAATTATTGTTGGAAGTTTGAATGAAATCCAAGACACCTTTGCCCCACATTGGTAGAACAGAGAAAGAGATTGGTCTATATAAGCGTGGTATGTCCCACGCTTGGTAAATGGGCAATGAACCAAGTGGAAGCAATTTGGACTTCACATGCATTGATAAAAAAGGACCGAAAATAAGAGAAGTAGAGGAAAGAAGAGCCCATAGTAGCAGGGTTGTGTGCAGGAGGAAGAAAAAGAAAGAGATGCATAGAGAAGAAAAGTTTTATAAGAAAATTTAAAAAAATCCACATGCCCCAAAAACAATATATTAAAAAAAACTTACTTTTAAGAAAAATATATATTTAAAAATAATTTAGTCCTAGTCCAATCAAACATACAAAAAATGGAGTACAAGTGTTATCTAGCTTAGAACAAACCAAGTCAATCCAAGACAGTCCTATAATTTAGTCCAATCTATGACAGTCCACCATACCAAACGATCCCTAAAGGGATATGTTGATTGATTGTACTAGAAATCCTCCTTATTATATTATTTTAATTGGGAAAAAAAAAAAAACCACATATGAAAGTCAGACGGCATGAGTATTATTTTTGTTGATCCTCTTAGTAATACTTGGACGTATCACCTTAGTTAGCTTCAGTGGTAGAGCTAAGAATTGATGTTAGAGTAGGGATGACAAAAATTCCCGTCGGGCTGAGTCCTAACGGGGGGAAATTTTGGGGAAAAATGGGGATCAAATACGAGGATCCCCGAATCTTAAAAATCCCCGTTGGGTGTGGGGCGGGGATGGTATTAGCATTCCTACCATCCCGTCTCCGAACCTGGCTCGATATTTATAAGATTAATTTTAAATTAATACATATATAATATAATATAAACATTATTCAAAAAAAAAAAAAAAAAAAAAAAAAAAAAAAAAAAAAAAAAAAAAAAAAAAAAAAAAAAAAAAAAAAAAAAAAAAAAAAAAAAAAAAAAAAAAAAAAAAAAAAAAAAAAAAAAAAAAAAAAAAAAAAAAAAAAAAAAAAAAAAAAAAAAAAAAAAAAAAAAAAAAAAAAAAAAAAAAAAAAAAAAAAAAAAAAAAAAAAAAAAAAAAAAAAAAAAAAAAAAAAAAAAAAAAAAAAAAAAAAAAAAAAAAAAAAAAAAAAAAAAAAAAAAAAAAAAAAAAAAAAAAAAAAAAAAAAAAAAAAAAAAAAAAAAAAAAAAAAAAAAAAAAAAAAAAAAAAAAAAAAAAAAAAAAAAAAAAAAAAAAAAAAAAAAAAAAAAAAAAAAAAAAAAAAAAAGAAGATGCTTTTAGATCCCCAAAGATTTTCCTCTATAAAGTGGTGGATAGAGACCCAATTTGAAAACCACCATTGTGAATGCTCTTAAGTTTGGATCTACTTAACATTAAAATTATAATCAATTCAAGTCTAGAAACGTTTTATTTGACATGATACAAACAGGAGAAAATTAAAAAGAAAGAAAGAAATCTAGAGATTTTCCAAGCTACACCAAATTAAAATATGAATGAGTCTAGCTATATATATCCATAAATCAAATCAAGATTATTTGATTCCCTTGACATATATGCATATGCATTACTTCAATGCTTAAAACAAAGATAAATCAACAGTCAACAGGCTTGGCGAAGCTCTGGAGATGGAGGGACTGGTATATCCGTTGTCCCTTCCAACATCAAGATTACGTTCTTCATGAGGGGACGCAGAGCTGGGTCGTCCTGAACACACCACAGCCCCACTTTTACCATTCTTTCTAGTGTCTTCAAATCCACATTTTGTTCGTCATCTTCTACAAGCTTGTATAATTTTCCGGCCTTAAAGCATTTATATGCCCAACTAGAAAGAATCATCTCATCTGGAACTGAAACTTTTAACTCTTTGTTTTTTCTGCAGCATACAGTCTCCAAAAGCACAATACCAAAACTATAGATGTCTGATTTTACTGATATCAGGGCGTTCTTCTGCCATTCAGGTGCCAAGTAACCGCTTCTCTGTTCGACTCCGGCAGCTATTTTTGTTTGATCATTTGGCACCAACAGCCTCGCCAAACCGAAATCGGAGATCTTGGCAGTCCAAGAGTGATCCAGAAGTATGTTTTGGGGTTTCAAATTGCAGTGTATAATATGCACACCGCACTCTTCGTGTAAATAGAGCACCCCTTTAGCCACATCCAACACAATTCCTACCCTTTCTCTCCAGGAAGGGCGCACGGTCGCGGCCTTATTAAAAAGAAGATGTGCAAGCGAGCCACTGCTCATGTATTCATATACAAGAAGCTTTTGGGAGCCTTCGATACAGAAACCAAGCAACTGAACCAAGTTTCTGTGATGAGTTCGTCCAATAGTAGTGATTTCAGCTTTGAATTCCCTCACTCCTTCTTCCACAACTTTCTCGAGCCTTTTAACAGCAACAATTTTGTTGCTAGTTGACAGAGTTCCTTTGTAAACAGCTCCAAAAGTGCCCCTTCCTAACTCTTCCTTGAAGCCATGAGTTGCGTTTTCAAGCTCTGTGTAAGAAAACGATTGTAAACTGAACAATTCTTCAGCCAATCCCACTTTGGTATGATCCAACAGCTTCTTGTGCCTCTGAAGTCGGTGCATGTATATGATGAAACTGGAGACTGCAAAGGAAAAACATACGCATGCAATGGAACCCAGACTCACAGCAAGAATTACAATCAAGCCATGACTATTCTTGGTTTCGTATTTCACCGATGTCGAATTTCCGGTAGCCATTGGATTGTGATTGTGTGTTGCATCTACCTTGATGAATCCTGTTGTATCTGGGCTTCTTATACCATATCTAAGTGGTAGCTTGTATTTGTTGCAATTGCCATTAGTATATAGCGCTGCCTTACAACTACAGTCTTCCAGGCAAGAGTCGCTACAAACTTGCGGGTTCTTCAATGGCACCACTGAATAAGGATGGTCAATGGGCCATGATATATTGTCGACAGAAGCTACCTTGTACCCTAGCCGTGGGTCTTCATTGCCAGTGCAGCCATCGTCACTAGCATTCTGATAGCAGCCTGGAAACATATCAACGGGGTTGATTACAAAACCGGGATAACATCGACACTCAGTTTTGTTCGTCTTTTCCAGGACTGCACAATAACTGTTTAAGCCACAGAAACCTTTGACATCACACTGGTTATGCAAATTGGACCAAACAATCGACACCCTTGAGCTGGGGCTCATCACAGAGTAATTGTGCAAGTACAATCTGAAAATCCCATCGGCATCCAGCGTTGCACGGTGGACAATAGTTCCGTCATCATCATGGGCATGGTATGAGCCAGTTGCCAAGGGATGTGCAGTTTCAGGAATCAAAACGAGAAAACCTGATGCGTTCAGACTGAGCAGTTGCGCGGGACCAACAGTGTTGGAAGACCAATAAGCATTTTCGGAAATGGTGGAGATATTTACCGGGTAAGAAACGAGGTTTCCATCACCCTGCATCTGCAGCGAAAGTCGTCCGCTAAAGTGGTTGGATGCAGACACACTAGATACCAAATATGTGCCAGCAGCCAGATTTTGACCCCCTAGTATGGTATCAGTTGGGGAATCAAAGCTCTGCCAGATAACCTTAGAACGATTATCATAGACTACAAAGTTTCCATAATCAAGCATAGCAGCTGAACTTGCTGTTGTTGAAAAATTACTGGCAATGGGTACTTGTTCACCTTGCTCAGTTTGAAGAAGCAGACCGTCTCCCGTTAGCCGTAGCGTAGAGTTGGAGGAGACAAGCGGATCATCTCGCCGTGCAGTCCAGACGACTATGCTTTGCTCAGTCTGATTAAGTTCATTAACAAGCCATATCCCAACAGTGAAGCCGTTGCCTTGTCGATAGAAACCAAAGGCAAACCGGCCAGAAGGTGAGAGCCATGAACTCAGGTTAGAATCCGGGGATAGAGAGGAACCCAATTTGATGACATGTGACTCATTTGTTGCAGCCTTTACAATAATATTATCATTGATCAAGATAATTAAAGCAGAGAGTAAGAACAGAGCTGCCGGTACATAAGCCATGTATATGAGAGAGAGAGAGAGAGAGAGAGAGAGAGAGAGAGAGAGAGACCTCTCAAAGATTAAACAAGCCAGGCCAATTAAACAAAACAAGAATAGAAAAATAAATATTTGAGTAATCCATTTTCGTCCCTGTTGATCAGTTAGACTTGACTTACGTGTTGTCTTGTCATTTACGGCAAATTAGTGAGAGCAACTGGGTCCTACCGTGGAAATATCCTCCAAATGCATAAATGTAGAAGTCCCTACTTGCAGGAGTGAAACTTAGTATCACTATTTTGCTATACTCGATGAATAATACAATGTCATGTGCAAGTACTGTCATGCGTGTCAAAACGTCATTGGTCAGGAATAATAAACTAGTGCTATCCCAATAAATGATTTGATATAGTCAATAATGTAAGGCGATGTAGAGA